ATGTTTCTACGATGCTTTTGGATATCTCTATATTTTGCCCATTCTGTTTGCAAATTTTCCTGTGAATTTCGCTCTTTTGGTTGTGCCATATTATCCAAAAATCCTCGATCTTCCTACTCCAACCCTTTTAAGCTAGTGCACTGAGGAATGCAGAAGCAAGGGCATCGTGTTTGCTAAGGAGACTGATAAATATCTTATGACATTCACTCCCATCAACGGATAACAAATTACACAACCCTTGAGTGATATATGCCATAAATTCTGTGTCTCTAGATTCTTTTGTTGTACATAACATGTTTGTGAATGTTGACAAGATATTTCTATTTCGATGTAATTCTAGAAATGAGAATTTGACAATTGTTATTTTTTGTAGCTTGGATACTTTTCCTTATGCAGGAACAACTACCACGTGTGAATCTCTTTACATGGGAGTTCCATGCGTTACCATGGGAGGTACGGTACATGCCCATAATGTTGGTGTAAGTCTCCTCACCACGGTTGGTACGTATCTTTTCTCTACTTGTGCCATTAAATGATGTTCGCTCTCTTCTATGTTTCACAGAATTGATGGAACATACCCAATACTTGTACAATGACTCTTATCACGTGTTCCAATTGATTCTAATATCCAACCCTTAATTATTGTGTATATGTTCATGGATTACCTCAAGGAAACCAAGAATATGCCAACAATTATTATTTCTTCCTAACAAGAAGATGATGAAAATGTCATATCTCTTGAATCAATATTTAAAAAAAATAATAATAATAAGAATATGTGTAAAGGACAAGGGATCTCCCTTATCTGGTACTTCTAGTTCAGGCAACATAGAGTATGATCTGCATCCAAATTTGTAGTGACTGCTTGATAAACCATATCGTTTGCATTACAGGATTGAGCAATCTGGTGGCCAGGAACGAAGATGAATATGTACATCTGGCACTACAGTTGGCCTCTGACGTTACGGCACTCTCAAGCTTGAGGATGAAACTGCGGGACCTAATGCTGAAGTCACCTCTTTGTGATGGATCAAATTTCACCCAAGGCCTGGAATCAACTTACAGGATGATGTGGCGGAGATATTGTAAGGGGGATGTGCCATCATTGAGGCGTATGGAACTGCTGCAACAGCAGGTTGTTTCTGAGGAACCGTCTATCAATTCTTCTGACCCAACAACGAGGAATTCTGAAAATGGCGCCCTTGGACCAGTCAAGACAAATGGACTTAACCCCGGGCCATCTTCCATTGGGAACACTTCAGCTGGAAAGGAAAATGGGTTGCAGTTGAACGAGACATCTAACACGCCTAAGTTGAACTTAAATTGATCCACTTGTTTATGAAAGAAGTCTTTGGTGAATGACTAAATGATCCAGAGCTTCAACAAGAGTGCAAGTATTGTAGCCGCCTCCTGTGATATAAATTTGATGGGGCTTTGACATTATCTTCCATTTAGCACTTAGGTAGAAATTAGTTTTGGAGAGAGATGCTACAATTACAAGTGAAGTGCTCAAATATGTACTTGCTCAAGATATAGAAATGTAGTGTACTAGGGCATGATGGGTAGAATAATGGACTATGTAATAGAAAAATGACAGTCCATCTACCCCTTGATGAGAAATATGGTTTTTGTAATATATAAATTATAAGGTGATGCTTTTCTTTGAAATTTACGGGTTTTTCGCACTAGGAAAAATAATTTTTAGATGCTTAAGCTTTGGGCAAGAAAACTACTACTAGCACAAGAGAAATATCTACGAGCATGATGACATTACACAAATTAAACCAATATAAAGAAATTCTCGTGGGTGTGCTTCGTAAGTAAAACCAGAAGTGTTGCATTATGCTTTGATTGGCAGTATTGGGGTGGAAAGGATAAATTGCCTTTATGCCTTTCTAATAGAAAAAAATAAGATCGAAATAGGATTAATCAGATCGCAAGCAACTATAATTTTGATTTTGAAATCGTTTTTGTATGTTGCTCATTAGTGTTTAGATGACTATAAGCCTACTTGGTTTTGATAAAAAGTAGGTTTCCATAAAAGTTGATGGAATTGTGGGGAAAAACTTGCGGATCTTATAAATATAATTAAAATTAATTGTTGACTTTTTAAATTGTAAATAACGTTTTTTTTAGTTGGTTGGGGCTAAATGTTTAATTTTGCAAGGAAGATTAACAAAATATGACATTGGAAGCTAAGCAAATTCTTAAATAAATAAAAACAAATGGTTAATCAGATTGAAAGAAAAGTATTCATATGAAAAACCTTTTAACTAAACGTCGAAATGAAGCCCAAAAGTGCAAATAAAATGCATCTGTAGATGCCAAATATGTTAGTTCTTGGAAAATTAGAAAGTATACATTCGTTATTAGTTGACTAATCATACAAATAATTTAATTTTTTAATATTCTTAATCCTCATCTGCCCCAATTTCTATAGTATATTCCATCCTTAAGATTCAAATAATAAGTTATCAACTACTCTTCTTGTTCCATTATCTCATTGAAAACTATATAAAGATTCATCTTACCCCTCCATTGGCATTCATTACAAGTGTCATATTTCAGACCAGATCTAAAACTACTTTATTGAAAGTGGAACAGTTCTGATGCAAAATTATTTTGAAAAGTGAAAGATGATATCAGATTAATCCAATATCAAATTTTTGAAGAATATAAGAGATTAAGCCCAAATATGAAGTAATTGATCACAAGAATACAATAATAAAATAATTTGCAGAGAATTGAGATTTTATTATAATTTAGAGAAAGAATACAAATATTTTGTATTTATAATTTGTCTAACTTGTAATTACGTTAAACAATCCAACTAAATTATGAAGAATAGCCAATTATATATAGGGAACGATCCAAGTCTTATAAGTAGAGTTGTAGATGAAATAAAATGTCCAAAATTTCTCTTATCTTGATCTCTTCAAGTCCAACACACCTAATAGGGCTTCCAATAGAACTTCAATTAAAACTTGTCAAATAGACTTCAAATATGTTTCCAAAAGCATTCTGTATAGATTTTCTCTTAATGTGTAATTTAATTAGAACTCTTAACTGTCTTCAACAAAGAATTCGGATTACATTCAAATTCTAACAATTTCCACCTTGACACGAATTCCACTGAAAATATTCTCTAACTTTGCTATCACAACTAGGGGCAAAAGTGATCTAATGACTACCAATCAAGGTTGAAACAAGCCTTGTAACAAAATCACAATTGAATGCATCAAAAGAAGGATCTTGGCTAGATTCAACACTCTTAACCGCATTCAAACCATCAACAAAATCAGCAAAATTGTACTTATGTAGAATCTTATGGCCAAACTATTTCTAACAATTAAATACGATGACACTATCGATAATGTTGACAAAACGGATTTACTTATATTCTCAAAACTCAACTGAGATGTTTTCTTAAAAGAAGACCCAAATTAGACTTCAATAGGACAGAAACCAATTCTTAATCCACACAAGTTCTTAAAATATGTTGATTACTCAAAGATTTTGTATCACCCTACAAGATATACAAATGAGATTTTTTATGTCCCCATCAGTACAACACGGGCTCCTTTGATAATATTCAGGATTCCATCTTCAACAGTGTACTTGTACCATGCTGACCTGGGACGTATCTCATTGTATCAAATGTTCTAAATATCCCATCAAACATCTTTCATTTGATATGACCAATACTAGCTATCCGACAAAAAGTATTATTACCGGTTATCACAACACCTTTTGTAACTTTTTCATATGTTGAAAATAATTCCTGATTGGGTGACATATGAAAAGTACAAGTTGTATTGAAAATCCACGTCTCATCAGGTTTAGAGTTGTCGTCGGACATAAGTAAAAGCTCTTCATCACCGCTAAGAATTTTTTGCAATACTTGCTTCTACTGAAGCTTCTAATTGCTTTTCCATCTGAAAAGTTGCATCTAAATTTTCTCTATTACGCAAATTATAGCAATCCTTAATTAAGTAGCCTAAATTCTTGCAATAAATTTTGAAACTAGACCTTAATTTGCCCCTTGCACAACCATCATCAAGAACTAGGTTTTCATGAACCTCAACAATATGCTTCATCTTCTCCGTTGATAATAGAGGCATTATAGACTTCTTTAATGGTAAGGTCACGACTATATAAGATTGTTTTTCAAACAACAAATATGAAGCCAGCAAAAAATACAACAAAATCAATCCCATATAAGTGAGCACCGCTCACCTCCTAACTTGCCAAAATGAAAATCTTGTACTGCTATCCAATCGCGGAACATCAAATTTTATGGTTGCCATCCTAAAAACAAAATCTCCATATGAATTAAACTTAGGTTCTAATTCCAGTTATATTCCGGATCAGATCTAAAACTACTTTATTGAAAGTAGAACAGCTCTGATACCAATTTGTTATGAAAAGCGGAAGATGATATCGGATTAATGTGATACCAAATTATTGAAGAAAATAAGAGATTAAGTTACAATATAAAGTAATTGATCACAAGAGCACGAGATTAAAATAATTTGCAGAGAATGCGGATTTTATTATAACATGGAGAAATAATACAAATATTTTGTGTATGTAATTTGTCTAACTTATAATGAGGTTAAATAATCCAATTAAATTGTATAGAAGAGCCAAATATATGTAGAGAACAATCCAAACCCTAAAAGTAGAGTTGAAGGTGAAATAAAATGTCCAAAATTTTTCTTATCTCGATTTTTTCAAGTTCAATACAAATTTCAACTCTTGATATGGTTTCCAAATAGAACTTGTCAAATAGATTTCGATTAGGATTCCAAAAGCATTTGGAATAGAATTTCTCTTAATGTGCACTTTGGAATAGGTAACAAAGCCACTTTGCCACCCACTGCTGCTAAATCACCATCCCCACGTTAAACTAGAACTCTCAATTATCTTAAATAAAGAATTTAGATCACACTCAAATTCTAACAATCTTTGAGCTCTACCAGCAATCAAAGACAAAAGATATGGGGAGAAATGAGTTGACTTCTATTGATGTTGCAGAGACTAGAAAAGAAAGGAAAGGAAAAGCACCACTTTTGGGAGCTCACACGGAGCACGCAAGTGGAGGATATAAGAGAGGCATTGCCACTTACGGACCCACATGGGGTCATATGGGGTCAGTTGACACCACAATTATTATTATTATTTTTTGGTACACTAAAAAATTAAATATAATCTTGTCCAATTGTTTATTGTCAAACCCATTAATTGGTATTTCACCTATCCAACTCCATTTCCAAGTCCATTCTCTCCACTTTTTCACGTTTTGGGATTTTCTTTCTTGTGCTAACTTTGTGATCTTTCTTTCATTTAGGTAACAAATCGACACCCTACTTGCTTGATTTTACATATTTTTATTCTAAACTTCATTTGAATAATTGAATTTGAGATTTGACAAATATTTTCAACTACAATCCCCAATTCCCCATTGCTTATTAGTTATTATCCAGTATACAGGAAAAAACATAAACATCTAAATAAGTCGGCACTGCCATATCGTGGAAATTACCAATATAGCATTTGGATAATTTTTTTTATTTATTATTTTTTTTTTTTGTGATTATTTGACATCTTTTGAAGAATCATGCATTTATCCTTATCCGGTTAAATTATGGGGTTTGGATCTAATTGTTGCAACTATAAATAAGCAATTAAGAAGACAACTATAAAATTTTGTGTGAATCTGGAAGGTATGCTTTTGGTCTCTGCTAGTATTAAAAAAAAAAAAATGGTTGATGTCATCTTGTTTCTTCTTACTATTTATTCAACTGAAATAGCAAATTCTCTCATTTAGATGTTGTGCTCATATTTTGTTAATATTAAATTTGATTTTGTAACATTCATGGAGAAATATTTTAAATAAGAACCCTTATTTTCTAGTACAGAGTAAAACGTAGTTGAAGCGAGCTTTCAAAATAACATATTATGATATGTTGTTATAAAAAAAAATTGTATTTTAATTTTGATCCCATAACGCCAAATGTCTGGCTCTGTCCCTGGCATTGCCATATTCGACTAGATCCTTAGCATAAGTGCCTTTACATTTGCTTTACCAGCAACGCATGGGAACCACTGAACAAACTCTTCCCTTCTTTACTCAGTTCTTTCGGTTCCAAGAAAGATATGATGATCTCCCAACTTTCTCGTAACTTTCCTTCTTCCTCCTTTAATTACATTGATTATGTCTTCATAAATATGCCCTTCGTATGTGAACTTGATTCATTTTTTCATCAATAACACGCAAGGGATGACTACGAATATGGGATCCTATGTTGCCAAGGTTTGTTGTGGCAATAAGTGCAACAACTTAAATTAATGCTGATATGCATGGCAACAAGATGCTAGGTTTTGTTAGACTCGAACTCATGCAATTTGTTTTCATCTAGTCCTAAGTCAGTTACCCATTTGAAAGATTTTTAGCAAAATCTGATAGAAATGATTACTGCTCTATCAAATAAAAAAAATGAGGTACACAAAAACAACCTTTTTTATAGGCAGAGTAGGATATTTATATTATCCCTTCAAGCACTATATATTCCTCTCAGGCGTGTCTAAAGACTTATGATGCATAATTGTTTATGGAATTAAACTACTGCAATAGAAAATGGGTGATAGAAATGTTGACACCCTCTCAAATGTGTGTGGGAGCGCGCGAATAAAAAATTTCCAAAAAAAGTGAGCCCCACGTGGAATGTGAATGATCTGTCAGAGTGCATGTCATCCATTTTCTGTTAGTGTAGCAGAATTCTTGTTTATGAGTCTTTCCCACAATTGAAATTCAAATAAATTAAATTTAGGTCAAATTCGACTTCGCAACAAAATAATAGGAAATTTCAACTTCATACAAGCTACCTTTTCTCTCTTTGCCCTTCTCCATTGTGTGCATTGTGCGCCCTCGTAGACAGACTAGGATATTTATATTATCCCTTCAAGCACTATATATTCCTCTCAGGCGTGTCTAAAGATTAAAATGCCCCTCCCAATAAATTCACAAGACTTATGATGCGTAATTGTTTATGGAATTAAACTACTGCAATAGAAAATGGGTGACAGAAATGTTGACATCCTCTCACATGTGTGTGGGGGGGCGCGAATAAAAAATTTTCAAAAAAAGTGGGCCCATGTGGAATGTACCTGTCAGAGTGCATGTCATCCATTTTCTGTTAGTGTAGCAGAATTCTTGTTTATGAGTCTTTCCCACAATTGAAATTCAAATAAATTAAATTTAGGTCAAATTCGACTTCTCAACAAAATAATAGGAAATTTCAACTTCATACAAGCTACCTTTTCTCTCTTTGCCCTTCTCCATTGTGTGCATTGTGCGCCCTCTTGCAGTTGGACTAAGGCTTCTACTAATTATATTCGATACTGTAAGCTCTTCCTAAAATGTACATAACTACAAAGAATGTTATATATAGGTTTTTAATTAAAATCTTTGAATTTGTGGCAGGTGATTGTTACTTTGACAACTTCAGCAGTGGGTTCATTTGTGTCCATAGTATATTTGGTTCACAATGGGAATTTAGATGTGAACTGGCTTGCAATATGTCAGTAGTTTGATGATTTCTACAAAAGGATCAGTGGCGCGGTGGGGGCAGCCTTCATCACGGTGGTTCTCCTCATTTTTATGGTGGTGCCGTCCGCTACTGCTCTCAAAAAACGTTAACAAGAATGTTGTTATGAATTAACGTATGTTTTCGTATTTTCTTTTCGAGTTCATAATTTCAGTAGTAGTTTCGTGTTTTATGGATTCCATTCTTTTTGAAAAATTAACATACGCAAATCACATATGTATGTTGATGAATTTCGTACATACGTTTTTTCTATTCCCATACTATCAAATATTTGGTTGGAAGAAGGTTTTGTTATTATTTTTATTGCTTCTATAGACTCGATGTGACAAATGCGTCGAGCCACTTGTGGTCGTTTTAATTTGATTTCAGAGTATAAATTGGTTGCTTCACACTAACCTCATCGTTGTTTCTCACATGAATAAAAATTAAGAAAGATAAGATTTCACGGACCTCTTGCAGTATGTTTTCATTCTCAAATGTGAGTTCATAATTTCAGTAGTAGTTTCGTGTTTTATGGATTCCATTCTTTTTGAAAAATTAACAAACGCAAATCACATATGTATGTTGATGAATTTCGTACATACGTTTTTTCTATTCCCATACTATCAAATATTTGGTTGGAAGAAGGTTTTGTTATTATTTTATTGCTTCTATAGACTCGATGTGACAAATGCGTCGAGCCACTTGTGGTCGTTTTAATTTGATTTCAGAGTATAAATTGGTTGCTTCACACTAGCCTCATCGTTGTTTCTCACATGAATAAAAATTAAGAAAGATAAGATTTCACGGACCTCTTGCAGTATGTTTTCATTCTCAAATGATGCTGAAAAGTTGATTAGCAACAACTCGACATGAAATTCATCATGTTCAAACATGACCTGGTCGTTCAGCATATAGATCATAAAATTCCTAAAATGGAATGAAAAGATCAATACTTTATAGTCAATTGCTATAGCTTAGAGGCCAGCATAGCTATGTCCACATCCTTGGTTGCCATTATATCGATATCAGAGTTTAAGTAAGAGGTCTAACTTCCGACCAAATAGTCTATAGTAAAAAAAAACCCACTCAACTTGTTTCAACTCAACCCATAAAATGCTCGAACTTGTTTGAATTAGGATAGTGTTAGAGCTCTAATATAGCTCAATTAGGCATGATTAGGGAGATGTTGCTATTTCTCTTTTCTCTTTTCTATTTTCTATTTTATTATAATAATAATAATTATTTTCTCTAATTTCATGCTACAAATATAAAAGATGAAGAATGAACGTGTAAATATTTTAAGACTAGGTACCTATTTGTATAGACTGCATGAGTTAGGAACCTTTGCTGCAATTTCCCCCAGATTGTCCCCTTCGTCGTCCCCCCCGCCCCCGCCCGCTCCCCGGGCCCCCGCGCCAAAGATCACAAAGTCAATTTCGTCAAATCACATAACTGCACTGCCCACTGCCGGTAAGAAATAGGAAGAACAATCTGTCCCGCCGTCTTTCTCTCTCTTCACAGTCTGCTGCTTTATATATATGCACAACAAAACGCAGAAAATAACAGTAGCAGAGTAACAATTCTATATTAGCTGTAGAATTTACTTCAGTTCAGTGTTGACTGTAAAAATGTCGTCGTCGGCGGTAAAAGGATCGCATGGCGCCGGCGGTCGGTGTAAACTGACGCCGCACCTGGATAAGAGAGTAACCAAAAAGCTCAACCTCACGGTGCTGCAGAGAATGGACCCATTCATCAGCGAGATTCTCATGACCGTTTCTTTCGTCACCTTCTACTCGTTCGACGTCGATGCCACCCAATGGGTATCCACATTTTTTTCCCTTCTTCCTGTTATTGTTACTACTAATGCTGTGTTAAAGTCTTCAAGAACTCGCTTGACGGCGTGATTTTGAAAATCCGACTATCTTTTTCCGATTCAATAGTCATCTTTATTTTTATTTTATTTATTTTTTTCCATTACGTTTGGGCGTTGGAAAACTTGAGTCGTGAATAAAGTGAATGGAGATATAATCTGTGTTAGAAGTATTTGGTCTGAGGATTGTTGAATTAGTTTCTAATTTTTGGTGTTCAAATTTGCTTGCAGAGCCGCAAGGATGTTGAAGGGACTCTCTTTGTAGTCAAAAGGTAGTCAATTTTTACCTGTGTCGGTAATATTCTCCCACTCTAGAATATTTCTATAGGTTTTGAGATTTAACTTGCTACGAATTTGTGTGGAAGTTGAATTGACATGAAATTGAGGATAGCAACTGAAAATGTAAAACCAAGGGGAAAATACTTCATGAGAGTTACCTAGAAGATCCTGAATTTGCAGTGTTTTTTTTTTTTTTTTTTTTTTTTTTTCCCACTATATTTATTGTGCAATTCTTCATGTATCTTGCAACCTTGAATAAGTAACATTTCCATTACTTCTATTTTTGTCCCTTTTCTGGTTCCGTAGGAACTGTTTTATGAATTTTTGTTCGTCGTGTCATTTTAGGAACACTCAGCCGCGGTTCCAATTCGTTGTTATGAATATGCGGAGGGAAGGTTTGGATATTTTCATTTTCTCGATCTATCTTGGTTCATTCATTCAATCTTTTGTTCTACTTTTCCTTATTTTTAACCACACATTCTCCAACAAAACACTATTTCAAAATGCATTTTGGCCCAATGTTTACATATATAAGGTAAAGGCTGTATGATGCATAAATATTTTGGTGCACTCTAAACTAAAGATGTTCTATAAGCACTGTAGAATCAAGTGCACACTAGATGATTAATTATTTATTTTATGGTCATTAGTGTAGCACTTTTTGTCTATGAAACGTTGAAATATTGTAGCTATTTCAAGTAAATAAGGTTGGGAAATCACATATCAAGAACTGATGATAAAACCGAGTTTAAACGTGAAAAAATGGTTGTATATGCTGATCATAGTTATTTACATGTAGAGCGAAACACACAATTAAGCTCCATGCCGGTTGTATTTTGAAATTGTAGATGACTATGATTGATAAACCTAGAGCTATGTTTGTGCATAGTTATAAGCTCCTACATGGGTTGGAATGGAAGGGAGAAAGATTAAAAGAAGTGGAAGATAAGATGTCATTCTTCTGGATTATTGTGTGCTTTGTGCTTGTGAAAATATCTTCTGCTCTTATCCTTTTGAAAAGATATGGATTGTTTTCAATTTTCATTGTGACCTGAGGATATCATCTCATCCGAAGTTGCTGGTTTTACCCTATAGTAAGACTGTAGGAGGCATCTAATGTCTTATGTTTTCTGGCTCAACAATTGAACTTATAAATTAACTCATCTATGTGCTTTTTTATTCTTATTTTTGACCACTTGCCCCTTTTGAGATGATAAAAGAAACTAAACTGACTTCCCATTAGGGTTTGACAAGTTTCATTAATTAAGATGGAATACCAAGACTTAACATGATATGATAACACTCAAAAGGTTCTCGCTTCAAATCTCGTTGCTATTCATTTAATGAAATTATACATGTATTTGGCTTTGATATGAAAAGATAAGTACAGCCTCCGTGTTAGAAAAGGTGTTCAAGATAATATTTAAATGTTCTCTATCAGTTTTAGCTTTTAGATTAAATGATTCAACTTGGTGTCGGAGCCCAAAAAGCTCAAACAGGAAATTTGAGCAAGTAATCGGATTCTAAGATTACGTTCTCAAGTGAAGTACCATATCTGTCAAGGGATAAATTCTCATATTGGTTATACATGAAATAATCAAATTCATAACCAACATATACGTTGCTTCTCTTAATAATGTTGACCTTTTAAAATGAATTTTGAAGACTAAACATGATATTAAAGAAGGCAAAGGTCCTAGTTTATGTCTCATGAACATATTTAAAGAAATTGTACACCTTTGAGGCTTTGATGGGAAAATATGAACACTCATCTACACTTGAGGGCCGTGTCGGGGACAAGATTTAAAATATTTATGTGTTTATTGAAAAAATCTGAACTGTTTTAGTAAGAAAATGGTATCCAATGGATGCAGCTGGATTAAAGTGCTGCTTTCCAGGAGCTAATTCTTTGCTGTGTCTTGTTCCTATAGTTGTAAAATAATTTCTTTACATAATCGTTGTAACAACAGAAAATCTTGTGGAGAATCTTTTGCATAATTTCGAGTTTGAAGTTCAACTTCCTTATCTATTCTATCGAAATGCTGCCCAAGAAGTCAATGGTATTTGGTTCTACGATTCACGTGAATGTGAGGAAGTTGCAAATCTCATTACTAGGTAAAAAGGACATGGTTCTTTGTCTCATATTTTGGCTATTATGGTTTACTTGTGCATTTCCTGTGCTCAAATTCTTTAATAAGTAACCACTATTAGATACTACTGATTTCTCCAGTTGATTTTTAGAAAAAGAGTTAGCTTCATATTTGTAGAATTATATATTTACAGTGCTTTGCCCAGGTCTATACACCCCGTTTAGAGAAGCTAATACCAAAACTATTGCCCTCTACCAGAGAAAAATCTCAAGGAACTTAACAAACTATTTAGAAAACTGATAAAAAATTATTATGAATGATCTCGGTACCTCAAACTTGATTATAAACAAGTCGATGTAGTGTGAATTGTCGGTTTTGGGTACTGTAGATTCAGAAGTACTTATTACCGATCATCTTCCTAACTGAAGCGTGAATGAATTTTAACTTTGTTAACCTAGATCTTTAAGCAAAATAATGGTGACAGCAACAGTGGTTAAGTATGATTTTTATCATAGATCCTATCTTGATACCAGAGAAAGGTTTCAGCAATCAGGTTGAGATAATAACAAAATGTGGCTTTTACATTAAGCAGAATATCTGATAGTGTATTATTAAGACAACTGCATATACTATGAATGTCCCTGTACACGTATATGTTTTCTATAACATTGTAGTAATTCTACATTTAGTTTTTGTCAGAATGGAGGGCAAAAAACACAATTTTAGAGTGAATGACATCGATAAAAGATAGTTATTTGTGGAAAAATGAGACTAATTCTTTTTTGTATATTATTCAGTCAGAAAACAGGGGCCTTTATAGGCTAGATACAAATCTAGGTCAACTAGCTAAAAAAGGAAACAAATAAAATATTCCCAAAGAATCTGGAATCATACTCTAACCATTCCCATGAAATCAGGAATTAGAATCTCTAGGATTTACATTACCGTACAACTAAATAAGAAACTAAATAATACATATTATTTTCCACACTCCCCTCAAGCTGGTGAATAAGCATTTTCCATTCCCAGTTTGGAATGAGTATTTGAAACGATGTACTGTTCAATCCCTTGGTAAACACATCAGCTAATTGACCTGTAGTGGACACATAAGGTGTGCAGATCAAGCCACTGTCCAACTTTTCTTTGATGAAGTGTCTGTCTATCTCGATGTGCTTAGTCTTTCATGTTGAATTAGGTTGTGAGCAATATTGATAGCTGACTTGTTATAGTAAAGCCTCATAGGTCCATACCAATTGATCTTTAAGTCCTCTAAGATGATCTTCAACCACAGTAGCTCACATACCCCTTGTGCTATTGCTCTAAATTCTGCTTCGGCACTTGACCTGGCTACCACATTTTGTTTTTTTGCTTCTCCAAAATACAAGATTACCTCCTAGGAAGGTGCAATACCCGGATGTGGATCTCCTATCAACTACTGATCCCGCATAGTCTACATATGTGAATGCCTCAAGTACTAGCCCTGATTTTTTTTCTGTATAGAATGCCTTTTCCTGGAGTTCCTATGAGATACTGTAACACTCGGTAGGCAGCCTGCAAATGAACTTCCTTTGGGTCATGCATGAACTGGCTAATTAGACTCACTGCATACGCTATATCTGGCCGTGTGTGAGACGGATAAATAAGTCTTCCTACCAAGCGTTGGCATTTCCCTGTTTACTGCAACATCCTCCTCTGCCTTTCCAAGTCTAAGATTCGGATCTACTGGAGTACTTGCTGGTTTGCAAGCTATCTCGCCTGTTTCTTTGAGGAGATTCGTAATATATTTCTGTTGGAAGATAAAAATGCCATGTCTAGAGTGAGCCACCTCGATCGCAAGAAAATATTTCAGTCTCCCTAACGCCTTGATCTCAAATTCCTTACCCAGACACTGACTTAGAAACCATCTCTCTTTGTCATCATTCCCTGTCACTATTATGTCATCGACATATACCAAGAGAACTGTGACTCCCTCTGAAGGTGAATGTTTAATGAATAGTGTATGATCCCCTTGACTTTGTCTGTATGCCATGGCCGTCATAACTCTCGCAAATCTTCCAAACCATGCCCGTGGTGATTGCTTAAGTCCATACAAGGCTTTCTTCAACTTACACACAGTATCAGTAGTCAAATTATACCCATAACCTGGCGGTACCTCCATATAAATTTCTTCCTCTAGTTCTCCATATAAAAATGCATTCTTAGCATCAAATTGCTACAATTCCCAACCATAATTGGCTGTTAATGACAACAAGATTCTAACAGTATTCATCTTTGCAACCGGAGTAAAAGTCTCTAAGTAATCAATCCCATATGTTTGAGTATAACCTTTGGCTACCAACCTTGCTTGTATCTTTCTATCGATTCATCTGCCTTATACTTCACTGTATAAACCCATTCCTCACTGGTTTCTTTCCTGTTGGCAACTATACTAATTCTCACGTTCAGTTTTTTTTTGGGGCCTCCATCTCCACATTCATGGCTTGTTTCCATTTCTCATTAGACAAAGCCTCGGATAAGGAGATAGGAATGGCAATGGTGTTTAAGCTAACAAGGAAGGCTCTATGAGATGGTGAAAAATGTTTAAAAGACAAGAAGTGTGCAAGAGGATATAAAGGTTGGTTTGTGCACTCTCTAGTTCCTTTTCTAAGAGCAATGGGAAGGTCTTGGTCATTATTGCTCACATTAGATTCAGTTTCAACTTGTAATGAAGTCTTAGAAATTGTTACCTCGTTCTCAGGATCTGGGTTGGAGTCTCGAACTTGCACAGATTTAGGGACAACCATCTTCTTCCTCGAAAACACCTTGCTCTTGCCAAATCTTACATTTTCGAGGGTAAAGTCTGTCATTTTTTTGGGATTTTCGGGCACACATTTAGACATAGGTTCAAACATAGGAGACATAGGATTCGGCATAGTGGAATGAGGAAGTGGTTGTAGATCAAGCAAAAAACTATCCTTATTATCCTTATCTTCCATTATGAATTCTCCCCCTGAAGATAAGGAGCTGTGAAATATGACTCTTGTTCATTGAAAGTAACATCCATCAAGACATAGAATTTCTTTGATGGAGGGTGGTAACACTTGTACCCTTTTTGAGTCGATGAATAACCTACAAAGACACATTTTAACGCCCTAGGATCCAACTTTCCCCTGTTTTGACTATGGACATGGACAAATGATATGCACCCAAATATTCTAGGGACAAGATTATTTGTAGTGTGTAGGTTAGGATAGAATGTTGAGAGTATTTCCATTGGACTCTTGAATCCCAAGATTCTGGAAGGTAAACGATATATAAGATGTATGGCTGTGAGAACTGCTTCTCCCCACAAGGATTTAGGTACATTTCTTTGGAACATGAAGGCTCGGGTTGATTCAAGAAGGTGTCTATTTTTCCTTTCTGCTACTCTGTTTTGCTGTGGAGTACTAACATAAGATGACTCATGTACTATCCCTTCCTTCTAAAGTTATGAAGATAGCTCCTGATTGAAATAATCCCTGGCATTATCCGACCCAAACCTTTCGATTTTGACCCCAAATTGATTCTTAATCATGGAACAAAAATTTGGAAGAACGGTGCTAACATCAGATTTATGTTTGAGCAAAAAAATCCAAGTAACATGAGTACAATCATCAATAAATGAAACAAACCATCTTGTCTCAGAAACATTAGGAATAGTAGGACCCCAAATATCACTATGAATGAGATAAAAAGGAATAGAAGATCTTTTATTACTAATTGGAAAAGATACACGTTTGTGTTTAGCGAGTTCGCACACTTCACAATGATAACTTTCAACATCTAGACCCTTAAATAAGGAAGGAAACAGAATTTTAATAACTCTAAATGACGGATGTCCAAGTCGACGATGGTGAAGCCAAACTTTTTCTTTATTGGATGAAAAAGACTCTGAAACAAAAGAATGAGGTAATTTGCCTTTGACAATGCTTGATTGGCTCGATGATTCGAGGTCGTAGAGCCCATCCCGTTCTCTAGCATGTCCAATCATCTTCCCCGAATCCTTGTCCTAAAATACACAATAACTATGATAAAAAACCACATTGTAACATAAATCTTGAGTGAGTTTTTGTACAGAGACAAGATTTGTGGATAGTTTAGGGACATGGAGAACATTTTTTAAGGTCAGTGATGGGCTTATTTTGACATCTCTTACACTTGCTATAGTGTTCGAAGAACCATCAGCTTTGACTATTTTCCTATTGCTTGGGCATGGGGAATATGTGAAAAAAATATTTGGTGAGTGGGTCATATGGTCTGTAGCTCCTGAGTCCATGACCCAGGAGTTGGCAAAGGTTACACTCGAGATATTTAATCCAATAGAGAATGGAAACTCACCTGAATATGCCAATGAACAAGTACCTGAAGGTTTGTTAAGATTGCCAATAAGAGATCTCACTTTTTCGACCTCTTCTTGATTGAGACCACTTAACTCCTGTGGTGTTGCTTCATTCTGCTGTATTGTAGCAACATGGACCTGACCATGGTTTCTTGACTGTTCTCCTCTCTGTCCCCACTCCCGGCTTGGAGGTTTTCCGTGAAGCTTCCAACACTGTTCACGCACATGACATGCTTTCTTACAGTAAGTGCACCACAAGCTATTCTTGTAATCATGGTTCTGAGCTTTTGGTTGGTCAGGCCTTCCATCTCTAACAAGAGGTGTTCTATTATCATTCGTGGCTGAGTTATTGCCACCATTAGCTATCATAGTAGAGCTATCTGTGCTTTGTGGTTCAAGCATCAGACCTCTTTTGCTTTCCTCAAATCGGATCAATGCCACCACTTCATTAAAACATGGAACTTCCTGCTTGCCAAGAATCTGGATTCTGACTTGATCAAATTCCGGATTAAGTCCAACAAGAAAATCATGCACTCTATCTTGCTCTATGAAGTCTTTTAGAACAACAGCATCTTCGGGACATTTGGTTTTTATCACCCTATAATGATCAAGTTCTTGCCACAAAGATTTCAATTGGTTGGCACATTCAGTAACTGTCTTACTTCCCTGTTTTGCAGCAATCGTCTTCAGCTTGACCTCGTATACTTGAGCAATGTCTCTAGCTTTAGAATATGTCTGTTGAATTGCATCCCAAATATCCTTGGCAGTAGCCAAGAACATACATGTGTCACTAATCTCTGGAGTCATAGAGTTCCACAGCCATGCCATAATCATGGAATCCTCTTCATCCCAAGCTTCAAATCGAGGGTCTCCTGGTTTTGGTCCCGTACCCATGAGATGGCTATCTTCCCTTTTCCCTTTAGCACGGTGCGAACAAGTTGAGACCATTTAAGGTAATTTTTTCCATCCAGCCTATATGCAGCCTGGATATTTTGCAATTCCCCAGGTTGTTGGGATCGAAAAATCTCCTCCGATTGTGCTGTAGCAGTCATCTCTACAACCTCCGACATCCTCCAAAAAAAAAAAAAAAAAAAACACGATCTCTAGGCAATTAAGGCAGATCGCAGGAAGCACTAATTACCAGCAGTGATGACTGGCAGAAGAAAGAAACTGCGGGCAATAAAGGCCAGTAATCAGAACGGAAAAATTTCCAGAAACTTAAAGCCTTACGGCTCTGATACCATGTGGAAAAAGGAGACTAATTCTTTCTTGTATATTATTCAGTCAGAGAACAGGGGCCTTTATAGGCTAGATACAAATCTAGGTCAACTAGCTAAAAAAGGAAACAAATAAAATATTCCCAAAGAATCTGGAATCATACTCTAACCATTCCCATGAAATCAGGAATTAGAATCTCTAGGATTTACATTACCGTACAACTAAATAAGAAACTAAATAATACATATTATTTTCCACATTATTGCATTAGGTATTCTTAAGCAAATATTAGAAACGCTGAAGACTACTACACTCTCACTGTGACAGCTTGTTTGAGCTTTATGGCTCAAACTGATTTTTTCTTAAAACTAAATTAAATTATCAGCTCATACTTTAGGATGCATGTCCATGGCTAGAAAGTCAATTAAGTACGAGATAACAGCTAATAGCTATAAATTGAAATACACTTCGACATATCTAAAACAATAAAAATATTTGAGTGAAAACTTGGAAAGTGAAGAGGCAAATGTCAACCTATATATAGGAAATCTCTTTTTATCAAAGCACCATGTCCTAAGCTATATATGACCATAGGATACCGTTCACAAATTTTCTTCCCAAGTATCACTGGTATGTATAGTAAGCAAATGTTATTGGGAAGATGACTTTTAATTACTTTGTTCCATTTCAGTGCCTTATATGTATGATGTTTTGATATTTTTTTGTTCTGTAATATGTAGACTTTTTTTAGATGAATAGCGTATGTGGCATTGAGAACTTGTATGTCTTTACCCTTTTTTTTTTTTTAAATTTCACAAATTTTCTTCCCAAGTATCACTGGTATGTATAGTAAGCAAATGTTATTGGGAAGATGACTTTTAATTACTTTGTTCCATTTCAGTGCCTTATATGTATGATGTTTTGATATTTTTTTGTTCTGTAATATGTAGACTTTTTTTAGATGAATAGCGTATGTGGCATTGAGAACTTGTATGTCTTTACCCTTTTTTTTTTTTTAAATTACTTAATCCCATTTCAGTGCCTTATCAACAGCATATGATCTATCGATATTTTTCGTTCTGTTATCTATAGGCATTTTAGATGAATAGCCTATGTTCCATTGGCAATTTGAGTGGCTTAACCTTTTGTACAGGATACTGAATGCATATTCAAAGGTTCCTCCAAAGCCACAAGTATCCTCAAGTAAAAGGTATATAAAATGTATCTTGATGAATGTTTCTGTTAATCTGTGCAGGAGTCTGAGCTTTAGTTTTAAGACTCTCCTAGAATAAGCTAGCCTAACGATTGAGTGACATCAAATTCTGTAACAATTCCTTGGTTTCATGTCATGGAAAGATGATTGTTCTAATTCTCATCCTTATATTATTAGTATCTATAAGACTATAATTGTACTCCACCATTCATCAACTAAACGTGCTGGACTGACTTGGCATAATAGTTCCAGGTTACTTGGTAATACATTATGGTTTGAGACCTATATCCTTTCTGGGTTTAAATAGAAGGTATAAGAAAGAAGCTGATGTCATCATCGTCCCAACTCTATGCTGCTTTATTGTCATCATCCCTTTCCTGAAAATTGTTGTTCTACGTTACTCCAAAAATTGTGACATATATAGATCAATTAATTTGCTAAGAACAAAACATAAAAAAAGTACAACTGATGCTGTATAAAAGATTTGATGTCATTGTGTCGAAAAAGGAAACATCAAATCAGCACCCGATGGTAGCCACTGAATGCCACATAGCTGATTTGAAGTCTTAAAAGCCTTGAATATGAAAGGAACGGGGCAAAAATTGCATGTTGTGATCACCATCTCAAACTTGACCTGGCAGTTTTTTAAGCGGTACATGTTATCATTCATGGCATATGTAGTTCTTGGCATTGCCTGGTACTGATATTTTTTCTGATTTCGTTTCAATGCATTCTTCCAATTCTTTCATTTTCCTTTCTGTATTCTTCTTTGCAGTGAGTTTGAGGAACTTGAAGCAGTCCCTACCAGTTCTGTGATTGAAGGGCGGCCACTAGAACAATCATATATTGCTTCCACTTCTTCAGATCCACACAATGACTCTTCCTTTGTGAACTTAAGTGTGAGTCACTAATTTCTGTATTAATTCATTAACTTTCTGAGTAAAACAGTTTTCAGAGTTCTGTATGTTTATCTTGAGAATTTGTGCAAACTGTATGCATCTTGTTGTGGTCCTTGTTAGATAGGCATCAATGATGAATATACGTGGCACTAAATACCTCTTGAAGTCTTATTATTACGTACCATATTGAGTGGTATTTTTTCCTATAAATTCCACCATTGCAGAGGGCTGTGCATATAGGAAATGAGTCTTCGAAAGTAAAAACTCCTTCTCTCGACCATCCTCCTGCATTTCCTCCATCCTCCTGTGTTCATGGTGCTGGTCCTTGCGGTCCAACTTTGCGAGCTCCATCACTTACATTATCAGCTCCATCAGCTGATCCAGTGTCATCCCTTCATGCTGCCAGTGAACAAAGCGAAAGTCATGACCAGGTTGTCAATCTAGTCAAGCCCTCTTCTTTCTTTTCACCCCCTTCAACATCCACCTTTTATACACCAGCTACCTCATCTACTCCAACTGCTGCTATTCATCTTCCTTTGAGTATACACCTGCCCCTTGGTTCTTCAACGCTTCAACCTTTCCGACCTACACCACCAGCAACTCTTACCCCTGATTCCGTTTCTGTTTCAAATTATGGACCTCTAAGCAGGGAAAGAGTTCGGGATGCACTTTTGATGCTAGCTCTGGTACGCTTAGTAATTTGTTTGTGCAGTTCTTTTAATTTTTGATGATGTATTTAGTCCATGTTCGGTTTTGTTAAAAATAAGGCTTTTAATAGATTTTGATAAAATTTGATGAATTGTATGGTTGAAAAGTTGAGAGTCTCATAAAATTTGTGGTTGAAAATGAGTTTGAAAAAAATGAATTTTAAGAAATTGGGACTAAACAGAAGCTTAATGTTCATCCTGACATACATGAACAGCTAATCAGATGTTTAGTTTGTGCAGACATATTGCTTTCAGCTTGCAGTATATGCCAAATGAATTTGTTTTTACTGAATCTATATTTGTAAACGGACCTCTGGTTCATAGAATCGTGTTAAAAACTTCCAGTTTCTACTTGATCTTTGCAAGTTTTAGGGGGACTCCCAGATAACTGTAAAGTTTATTACATGCGTTTAGAAATACAAGTTATTCAACAAAATCTTGCCAAAGTGTATGGTGCTATGAACTTCAAATTTTTATGGCATAAACTGGTTATTTTTCTAGAGGTGTCCAGGATTTAAATTCTTTTTGTCCTTAACTATGTTGAATTTGAAAACCAAGTTTTGTATTTTAAGCTTGCCAAGTTGGGTTTTTACATAGATGGCTTCATTTTGCAAAAAAAGGTTCTGGTTCTGATAGTCACCAGATAGGCTCAATGGATTTATTTTGTGACTATGGCCAATGTCTTAGTTATGCAATTGAAATCTAGGAAGTTGGTGATCACATTTTAGGATTGGCCAATATTGACACTTTTTTATCCTTTGCCTGCGGAGGCAGCTTCCCCCCACCCCATCATTTTACTTTAGGTTTGCAACAGTTTGCACGTGTAGAATGAGAATTATGCATATAATTGCCTAAATGAAATGCAAATGGGATGGAATTCCTTATTTTCTTGATTGATTGCCACGCGGTTGAATTATTTCTGTTATGTAAAGCAGTGAGAGAACACTGTGAAGCTCTAATCAACTTATGCTGATGATTAATCAAATACTAGTGCTAAAATTGATAGGAATGTCATATTATTTTTATACTCTTGTTTGGCATGCTATATTTGTTACTTGTTCTTGAAAGTATCTCAATGTTGCTTAAAAGATTTCTTCACTTTGTATTTTCCGTGTGGCAGGACAAAAAATTCATCGACATGTTTTACAAAGTATTGCTGAAAGTGCATCAATTGTGATTGCTTTAACAGTGATGACGACATTGTGGATTTCAGATTCCGAGAAGGATCAATTTTTACGTATCTGCAGCATTGTTTACATGAAATGTTGGGAGTTAGCAGTTTCATCTTCCACAGAAAGGGTTGTCTTGCTTGGTACAGTTTCTTCTTATTTAAACATCTCCATCATTTTGACTAACGCGCTGTGATAAAATTACACGCCTCGGGATTGAAATTTTCTTGTTGATTGATAACTCAGGTGGGGTCGACCTGTCTTGGAATTAGCATTGGTTTGAAAGAGGTCTGTATATCAATTTTGTTTCATCTTTTAGGGTAAACCATGATGAATATCTACACGGGTGCTAGTGTGCTTAGCCGGTCTACTGCAAATTCTTGTCTGTGTGAAACTGGGATTTTGACAATTCAAGCACTATCATGATCTTGAACTTGTAGGTGAAGGCATAACTGTAATGCATATTGTTTCTCTATGTTGCTCAGGATTGAATTGTTCTTGCTACCTTTAGAGATTCAGGAAGTTTGTCTCATTAAGCCAATATTTTCTCTCTTAAAGATGTAGCTACTTCTCAACTTGTTCACGAAAATTATGTTCATGTGTTGGAAGCGATAAGCTTGCCCACGGGGCTGGGATATATGGATCTTATCATTAAAGCGAAGCTCTTCGACTAGTGTGAGGGATGGCAACGGGTCCAGCAGCATAGGGGATGTATGTCATCATTGAAGCAAACGTCTTTGACTTATCGTGAGGGATGGGGATAAAAAATTCCCTTTTATTGTCCTGTTTTATTGAACAAAAATTTGTATTTTTAAATGTAATTTATGTTAAAGATAGTATAAAATAATGGGGAGGATTTGGAGAATTCAGGGCGGATCATTACTCTTGATTAGAGATCGCTTTAGTTAAAAAAATAATTTTCACGAAAATATATTTCGATTTAAATTCATAAGGGTTCGCAACAAATAATAAAGTGGATTTTAGAGTGTCGAATATCATTTCACAGAGATTGAGTCGCCTAATTTTATTTATCTTAACCTTAATCGAAACAAGATTATCATAAGTGATTAATCTAAACTAGGTACGCAAATGTGTATGACTTGAATGAATTAATATGTTTAGATGAACTAAAAATGCAAATTGAATTTTTGGAATGCAAGTTTGATATAATCAATGAATGTATAATGCACTAGGATCATGAATTCTCAAGCAATGCTCAATTTAGCCATAGTTCTATAATTTGACAACACGTTAAAATTATGAAGAATCAATGTTCCTAAATCTATCTAACAGTTTCTCTCGAACAAAGTTGAATCGACTCTCATATACTATCAGCCTATATCTCTATGACGAGTGTAAAATATACAAGAATGCATGTAATTTTGTGAGCATTTAAAAATTCACGTAGAGCATAGTGGTATATTAGATATGTATGAGTTATATGAATTCTAGTACATATCTTCTATTTTAGCATTAGACATTGAATTAATATTACCATTCCATTAGTATGCAAAAAGTTGGCTTCAAAAGTTCATAACTGAGATTTCTTTTTAGTTCATTGATAGGAGTATATTCTAGATCAATTTTAATTTATTCATATTTAATTAAAAAACCAAAATACATTATTAAGATTAAAATAAACAAAATTCAATATTAAAAAAAACTTATTAAAATTAAAATACTTTACTTTTGTCTAAATTACAATTAAGAAAAGGGCAAATGGAAAGCTTATGCTAAGAGAGGAGGTTTTTGAATTTTTCGAAAATGAAGGAAAGGTCTCTGTTATTGTCATAAATTCAAGCCACGTTGATTTAATTTTCACCTGATAAATATGATCCAGATTTTTATATTTTTTTCCCTTGAAAAGTGAATGTGTCAAACAATAATCTCTATACAACCTCTTCCACTCGTGGCTTTGTTCATCTTGTCATTTGCGAAGAAACAAATTCTACGAGTTGAAATTTACATCTTCCACTATCAATAATATGTACCAGCAGGTGATCATAACTGAGGCTTTTACCGATGATCGAAAGCCGACCAGTACATAAAGATCCGTCATGTAATTGATCCAACGAACTTTCTGTACCAAAAATGTTCCAACTTCGACGCATATGGCCAGGTTAAATCCTACGGAATGCAGAGAAATTACCACCATTTTCATATCGGTCAGGTTTTAAATCCCGTTGCCAACAACTTGGCGTATAGAAGTTCATTCCAAGTGTCGGGCACTCCAGGTAGACACCAATGGCTGCAGTCTTGTGGTGCAGTATTTGAAGTACCTGGTTCGCGGTGGCTTGATGGGTGCCCATCTTTCCTAAATTCAGTTAAATACGTTATGTTCAAGAAATGAACATTTCTCTTCGCACTTTCCATTTGTTTGACTACCTCGTGCATAAGTACATTGTTTCTTGGTTCTGGATTCAGCCTTTTGTAGTCTGTTTCTGGTTCTACATTCAAATTACAATGGCCACCTTCATTCCATTCTCCATCCCTGCAATTTCACATCAGATATCGTAAATTGCATAAGCTACGTACGTACCAAGTTGAAGTAGATAGATTCTACGATATAACTAATTTACCTGTAATGTACTGGCGAATAGCTGCGGAAGAAGATAAGGCTCTTTTTGGGCTCTAAATTTTGCATCAACCACGACTTCAACGTGTTTAGAGATCTTCGAAAGGCTTCCATTACATCCATAGTCATGTTCATGCTTTTTCCTTCCTGGAAAAAATGACCCCTGAAAAACAATTACAATCATAAAGCTGTGAACAAATAGACAAAATATGGGAGGTTGGGTAAAAATACAATGCCAGCGACTCAACTAATCGGAGTTTTATGTTAGTAATCGAACTTCATAAAGCCCCTGATTGGTTTGGATAAAAATTAGATATTTAGTAGGTTTTGATAAAAATTGGTAAAATGTGTAGTTAATTAAAGTTATGTATCTCATGAAATGTTTGATTAGAAATAAGTTTAAAGAAGAATGAATTTTAAGAGATGGGCTAAATGTAACGGAATGTTTGATTTGACTTAATTAAAAGAAAAAGAAAACTTGATACCTCTTGACGGTTTTGTCTTGATTCCACCAATGACCAGCGCTGAATACAAAAACATTTGCTCCGACCCATTTAGTGGAGAACCAATGCAGTTTATCGACCCTAACCACACCGGTAACTTCCTTGGACGAATTTTCTGGCGGGCGATCAATGACGACCAAATAAGGCATTCTGTAGTATTCGACAGTGAGATTGTATTCCTGGAATCGAATTGACAGGAAGCCCTTATGTTTTGTTATTGGGTTACCATTTTCCTCATATACTGTAGATTGATTTGAAACTCCTTGTGTGAGCATGCATATTAGGGATTCCCATTGATTTCTTCCAATGGAATCGCCGGCGAAAACTATCCGACCATTCTGGCTGCGCCTGAGAAAGTCTTTTGCGTCAAATCTGTCCAGGATTAATTGACAACTTATGAGTAAAAATTAGTTTTCTACTTTTAAGTAAACTTAGTAAAATGACTTGTGAAGCTGGCCACGGCTGTCACATAGGGTTCTCATCTGAGCTATGAGTGAGGAGGTAGCCCACATATCCTAAGTAATTGATGTCAAATTTGACAATAATTAAGGGGGAAAAAAGGAGAGAGATTGCATTGAGGATTCTCTATACAAGCTCAAACAGATTTTCTCATTTTGGCATATTTTCAACTTTTCGAGAATCATATTTTCTACTTTTACTTGACCAACTCATAAGTAGTTTGTTGCTTTACTATACAGTATATGTTTTTGTATAGACAAGTAGGCAAGGTATGATGAAGCCGCATGGTGAATTGTACCGGTCATGGTAAAGATATAAATAAAGGAAGCTAACAGCATTCCTAAAAGAAACTTATCTGAATAGTTACATGATGGAAGGAATACAGACCAGCATTGAGCTATAAAGTGGTTCGACTGGTAGTTAGAAAGAGACATTCATCTATATAGTTAGAATAGATCAACGAAAACATACAGTTTCGAAGAAGGTGACCACACCTCGTCACAAAGTATGAAGGTAAGATACATCTTTCATGCCGTTATTTATTATAAAAGATTTGTTTGTTGGAACTTGAAACTCTTGAAACGAAAGGTACAGTTAATACTAATGCTATTTAGCATTACTAGTGTTTAAACAACAATTTCGATGGTACTAATATGTCATTAAATGAGATGTGTAATTAAATGAATAACTTGATTCTACTTTTCATTAAACCTTTACTTAGTGCTTCACCAATTTGGTGTTAGATAACATTATTCTAATTTCAATCATGTGCCAGAAGGTAAAGGTTGAAATTTTTAATTATTTAAGTATAGTTGTAGTTAAAAAATAATCTATCAACTTATTTAATACATAGGTCCAAAGGGTCAATTGGTACGCATTTTATCGTTGACATTATTAATGCAGCATGTGATTAAATTAAACAGAAGTACGAATTAATGTATTAAAAATTTCATATCCTTGAGAAAATAAATAAGTCAAAATAAAAAATGCTAATCATCATTCTCAATAATGGCATTTGCATGATTCAATAAAGCGTGTACAATAAGTTGTAGCGCATGCAGTGCCTTTCAAGATGGAAGACAGTGCGAAAAGAGGCACTTAAGAATGGATATGACATGCATCATGATCAATAATCGATTACTTAACAAAAATAAGTAAAAAATCTTAATCATACCTCGGAAGATGACAACCTTCGGGTTGCCATCGCCATTTCTGATAATCTAAATCCTTTCGACCATTTTGTCGACACCGGAATCCGGGATCCAATAAGGGACATTTCTCCGTGTATCTTCGAAGAGATTGAGTTTCATCCCAAACCCACTTTCCATAAGAGTAGTCACAAGTTTTTGAAGTTTTGCTTAGGATTTGGGACAAGTAACCAATATCGATAAGAGACCTCGGCTGCAAAGGTCTTATGATGTTATAACAAACAATAGAAGAAATGATCAAAGAGAAAAATAGCATTAATTGAGAGACTGACTTCTTGATTGGATTGGAGAAAAAATGTAGCTTTTGGTCCATGGAGGGCAGATCAGAGGGCTTAAAATCCATAAGAAGAGGAAGAAGAAAGGGTCCTAGGTTGAAGAGTTCTTGTGGGTTGTGGCTCTCTACTTTGTATGTGGAGAGAGAGAGAGAGATTGTGGATTTCTACTTTCTAGAGAGAGAGAGAGTTTGTGTCTCTTTATGGCTGTGATTCGATTAATTAAGGTAACTTTTAAAATTATAGGGCAAATTAATTATTTTCCTGGTTTGGTGGATAGTAATTTATTTTATTGGGAAACTTTGTTTGGGGTTCTTTTCTTGGTTCTTGGATACCGGGCGCAAATTATGAACCTAGACAATGGTAACGTAGTATTAATATTTTACTCATGATTCAGGTAATAAATCATGAGAATTGCCTAATTTATGTCACTTACATAATACTCATGCAACCAAACGAAAATTTCCGTGTAATAGGAAGTCAATAATTAGATCTGCACAAGGTGTGGATTTGGAATTGAATTCTTGAAAATAAGTAGAAAAATTAAAACTCGAAGAGTGTATTTGATTGCCTATATTTTCCATAGAAAATGTGTTTTTTCCATCCAAATTCCTACTTTTATGCTGTTTGATTGCCATTTTTTCCATAAAAAATATTTTCTCACTTTTGGTCACGTGACCATATTTTCCTCAAAAATCGAGGAAAATATTTTCTTTAGGAAGAGCAGAATTTCATTTTCCACGGAATTCACTCTCTTTTTCTCTCTCTTACTTATCTACTCTCTCTCGTTAACTTACCAATAAAAAATGGACAAATATAATATTTTCTAAATTGAAAATTAAATTAATCAAACACATTTAATTAACAATTTCCGTACAAATAAATTCTAGGCAATTGAATTACCTAAAATTTATTTTCTTTTCATGCAAATTTCATGGTTGCAATCAAACGCACCCGAAAAGTTCGTAAGAATAATTTGATTGTGTTAAGTGGTCATTGAAAAAGTAGACAATCCTATATTTGTATATGTAAATTAGTTAAATAATCATAATTATTAGAGTAATTAAAATCCTAAATGAGTATTGATGGGAATCAAAATCTTAATATAAAAGAAATTAGTAATTATATTCTAAATTAAAAAATAAATGAAGAAGAAGAAGCAGCAGCAGCAATAATGTTCTATTACATATATAAAATGACAATTTTATTCTCGAAGTCAAATAATTGAAAAAGGTAAAAATGACAATTCTATGTAGTATGATCATTAATAAATCCATGAAGAATCTCTATGCACGAAAACTCACTGACATTCAACAGTTAGTTAGTACAAATATCAATTACTGTGTGCTATGCAATGAACCTATTAAATATTATTTTTCCTATATTATGGAATATATAAACATATAGCTGGAAAATTTAATAGACAATTCCGATGTTCGGAATTAACTCCTTAAGAGTGCCTAGGCTGATATCTGGTACTGTTCTTGATCACTTCACAAACCTGCCAAAGCAAATACTTTGTAATTTATTTTCGGGCACGAAATAAAATTTCAAACTTCGCGTTACTTTGGTTTAAAAAATAAATAAAAGTTAGCCCGAAAAAGGAGAGAGGAAAAAAGAGAACGTACATCGAATGAGAAGAAGGATCCTTGCTGGAACTTCATGTACTCCTTCGAACCGCCGTATGCAATGCCATTATTTCTCCCTATCGGTTTAGGGTTCTGATTCCATGGAGTAAAAAAAGAGTCGCCACGCTCAAGAAAAGACATGAATCTCGAGTAATCATTTGAAGTGTCTAATCTTTCTGTCTCCTCGTCACAATCAAGAAAATCTAGGTATTTCGTGAAATCTATGGTGTACAAATTGTTTGCCTCCTCTTCTGGTGTACGAAACAAGTAATCCCATTCATGACAATCGACTGACCTTCTTCTAGCTTCAGGCTCCAAATCCGTGTAAAAATGGTAGGTGCTATATGGTGGAATTTGATTATAGAAGTCATAAAACCAGACCGGGGGCATGGCGTACTCTCCATACGCATAAATGTGATCACCAAAATACAAATTCATAATTGTTCACAAAAACCTTTTTTTTTATCGGAGTTTTTGTTGATGCTTAGAATATATATAGAGTTATTTTTGCAAAGAATTAATCGCCATTGAGATAGAATTTGATCGAAGTAATGACTTTGGGGGAGTGCGCGGGTTGCATGTATTGTGTTTTAAATATACTAGGAAACATAAGGATCGATGATAGAGTTTGTCCATTAGTTCTACCACGACGATTGGTGTTAGCTTTGGAGTAGAACTCAAAAACGTTTTATGAAAAGAGGAGATGATTGTTGGATTTATTTAAAGTTGATTGAGAATTTAAATATTTAGTTAAAATTTTAATATTTGTAAGCTACATAAATCCAAGGCAAGAAAAATTGAAAACCGGTCAGAGAGTTTTAAACTTATCCATGTTAGAAAATATAAATGTCTTAAAAAATTAAATTTAAATAACTTTTAAATGTATCCAAACTATTGCTTGTTTGGCACCATCACCATCGATGCCACACCAACACGAACATCCAAAAAGCGGATTTAAAATAAAAGAACTACTATTACTTTTCTTGTTTCAACATAATGAAAACCCCATGCTTTGAGGTACAGTTCGAGTCGAGCGAGCTAGAATCAACTACAAGACCACACGAGGCGAATTCTAGTTGTCGCTCAGAGGCGGAGAAGATGTTGTATGAAGTGAAGAGAGAAGAATTAAGATGGTGCAAAATTTGATAATTGCGACAAAGGGGGGAAAAATAAACGGGGATGAAAGTGCAACAAGTTGTAATATTTGGAGATTGTGTCAGAATTATCTTATTTATAATTGAATTTAATCAAACCAAATCCAATTGAATATAAAATAATAGCATTTTTTATCTCCAAACTTTTAAAAATGCAGAGTGTATACCCCTAACCTTTCAAAATAACATCAGATATCTCAACGTTTAAGAAAATAGACATGTTATGTCTCCGATGATAGAATTCATCCATCACATTGGTTAAGGTAAAATAAAGAAGACAAGATTATCCTCTCCTTTCAAATAGGTATGGAGGTTGCCCTCAAATGCTCGCATGAGTTTTGAGGATTAATTAGACAAAAAACGTGTGTAGGGACTAAGTTTAGGTGCACAAAAGTGAAAGGTTGGGACAATGCTGCAAGGATTTAAAAATGACGACAATTTTTTCACTTTTTTTGAAGGACCGAGCTAAGGGATGACCGAACGTATATATCAAGCTTCAAATCGTCACTTTTCACTTTAATGTATGCTGGGGTGCATAACATGCAGATTTCTGTGCAGAACAATGGCCTTAAATCGTTGAATTGAGAAGCAGCTTAGCGTTCAACCGTTACCTCTGACTCGACCTCTTCACCTTCCATCGTCTCTGCGGTTAATTACAGGTGTACGGCATTTGCTGTTGATAATGCTTTTCTTTTCTCGCTACTTGTAAACAAAACCATCAATGTCTTAAGTTGAATTTGCTCTTTCTCATGCTGTATACTTTGGGGTCGAATATTATTTAATTTACGTGGGATATGCACAATTGTGAATATCGGTCACCTCGTGTCAGAACATTTTCGGGCAAATTGGTTTTTTCCCCTGCAACAATGGCTGCCGGATTCTCCATAAAATTCTAGGCAACTTAGGGTGCGTACTCTGTCTTGCTGGGTATTTATCTTTCAGGGTTTAATTATGAAGTGAAAAGTTGAAGTCTTTTCAAGTGTTACCTTTATTTACTTCAAAAGGGTCTTACCGACTTTAAATCTATGACCAATTTCCAATTTCAATTCTTGATAGCAAATATTTTTTATTTTTTTTATATCTTTTAAACCCCTTTGTCTCTGATTCACGTTTATTGCCATCTCCTGTGAGGAAGTTTCAATTTGGTTCTTAAAATTCACAGTGGGCCATGTTCTTTCGGCATTTTGCTTTCTGTAATAGCTCATAATGCTTTTACAATGTGTGATTACTGATTTTCTAATGTTTTTAGCCATGTTATACTATTGGTTTTATGATTCTTTTACCATGTATTACTATTCTGAACTATCTGAACCAATTAGTTTTGTGCTTGCTTTTGTATGTATATGAAGGTGCACTACATGCTTGATGAATTGCCTCTATGATTAAATTGTGTTAGAAAAGCAAAAAAGCGTTTGCTGACTGCAACAAAGCTGTTTTTATTTCTTCACTAATAAAAAGTTCTAAAATTATAAAACCAGTAGGAATACTTGGTAAAAAGCCTTATGAGTGATTCAAATATGCTTACAACCATTTTCAGTCTTTCGACAAAGACTGAAATACTATTGTAGTTGAAATAGGAGGATGTATACATATGAGCAAAATATTTACTCGTGTTATATTATTTTGTTTAACATTTTTGTTCAGTAAACAGGACCGATCAGTCGGCATGAAGCTGAAGGTAGCATGCAGGAAAATTTACGATTATGTCTGTCATGATCTCAAAGAAATAGCATTTCCTTCGTCTTTGCCTGATCCTCCTCACATCAAAAAGCGTCACAAACTTACTTGGAAAGAGCGTTTCCTTGTGAGTTCTTTCTGTCAGCTGTTTACATTGCAAACTTATCTATTTTACGTGCTAAATGTGTTATAATGTCTTTTTTATGTTAGTCATGAAATAGTTTTGTACTGTGTCGTGTGATGTATTAGGTATTGAAGGAAGCATCTAGACTTTATGCAGCTAGCTGGGTGAGGGATATCGGTCCAGAACTCAGGCCAAATGACTACAAAAAGGAAGAGAGCAAAGATGAATCCAATGAGGAGAAAGGCGCAAAAAAGGAGAGGGTACCGTCAACTCTAGAGGATCTTGGTAAGGAATGTTACAAATTATTGATTTGATATGAAATCTTAAATTATTCAGGGACTGTGACTGGCAGAAAACTAAAAAAGTACGATGCTTTATTGTTTCAAAGCACTCATGTTAATTTCTATACCATTGCTGTCAAATAATTAACTGTTGCTACAATTTAAGAAAGTACAAGAAGACATAAATCTGGAGGAAAGTGAAGTGCTAAAGACTTCCACACGTGGGTTGAGTGTTATTTATTTTTTACCTGGTGAATTTGATGACTAAATAATATCATATGAATTAAAAGGTCTGTTTAGATATTCAGAGCTTTTTGTGTTCAAGAGGGTTGAGACCAAGCTGTATCACAGATGAGAGATCAAGATTCAAGCTTTCCTTGTAGTTGTCTTTATTGTGGCATGCAATTTATTATACAGATAACAATTGTGCCTATTTTACAGGAATTGAAATATTACCAGTGACAGACTAGTGATATGGTTGATGGGAACAATCCATTGTGCAACTCCTTTAGATGCCTAAATTTGCATATATAACTATCTTATTGATGCAACGGTTCCATAATACGTATTGTTCTCTGGGGAGGGGACTGGAATGTTCAACAAAACATGTAAAAATAATAATTCTAAGGTTAACTCTAGAATTTTGATGAACTTTATCTAAAATGGTGAACAAGTCTTTAAAAGGTTTTTCATCTTCCTCTCTACATCTTTTCATTTCCTTATTTTTCATATGATCATGAGGGAATGTTAATTATGCCAATGTGTTTACCATCCTGAGTTATGATTCATTTTTGCTTTTTGTTTATGGATATTGAGTTTGATTTCACTTTGAATACAATGGATAGCTGTTGCTGCAAGGGGGGGAATGGAGACATTAAGGCCTGCATTGCAACGGGTTTACATGACAAGAGCTTCTGCGTATAGAGATGCTCTCAGAAGCTTTATCGAAGGTTATCAAGAAGGTATACAACAAGTCATGGAGAAGAAGGAAGATTCTAAATCTCAACCTGGAGAGGACTCTCCAAAAGGACTTAAATGACCTCTTTGGAACTTGGTGAGTTCATGTTTGCATTTTTTTAATGGCTCATAATTTATGGTTTTGCTGCTTAACTATGTTGAAAAAATATATATATGAACAATCGTATCCCTAGTTTCCTTTGTTTATCATAAACAAACTACGAAAGCTATAAACACAGTAAAATCTATGATAAGCAATCTCTGTGTGCCATCTTTATTATTATGTGAAACGGGAAAAAAACTATTTCCTGCAGTGTTCTGTGTTTACCCAATTATGTTCTTTAGAGCTTAATAGACAATAGGTGCTATTATTATATTGTTATTTGTACTGCCTTGCCAATATAAAATACTTAACAGATGTTTACATTAATAGACTTGTGGAAATGTCGTGCAAAATGCAAAAGCTCAATTTAATTACTCTATTCAATACAAGATGAAATTTTTATTCCATTATCCATAGAAAGATATAATTTAGGATCAAATTGTATGTAATCTGATTTACAGGGGTCGTTTGGGTGAAGGAGGATAAATGAACATGACCAATGGATCTGGTTGGCTCGTGAGTTCGAGTGAAGTAGAAACATACAGTCAGCAAAGGCAGTAGAAAAATCAAGGGGTGGGGTGGGATGGGGATGGGAAACATTGATACTAGGAAGAACTTACTATGTATGGCAAGAATTTATATCCTATGAAGTGTCATTAAATAACCTTCTTCAAGCTTTTGAGCCACTCTTTTACATGAACCTGTTTGTGAAATCACGAACTGAAATTCATGATGAGAATTAGCGATTAGTTTCCAATAAGATGGTCATTGTGATTGATGTACCTACCAAGTGGGATGCCTACTGCCCTAATTGATGGAGACTGTGGGTAGGATTGTTGTGAAGCAGCTTCTTAATTTAAGTCATTAAAATACTCAGGTATTGTGGATCTTTCTTCTCCCATAATTCATCTGTAACATCAACTTGAACTAAATACTTGCATCATTAGTGCTAATCTTACTCATTTTATAGTTTCCTGCCCTTCATGGAAGGTTGTAACTTGTCCTACCTTGTGATTGAGTAACCAACTGGATGCTCATACTATTATTTTCTAGGTATTGCTACTTTTAAGGATCTTCCTTTAGTTTCATTTCAGCCAAAAGCAGCTTTTTTAATGTTGGGTTCGACTAAGGAGATCTAAAGTCAAAAGTCTGATAAGGGGAAATCATAGACTGATTTTAAAGGAAGCAAATAATTGCATGGTTGTTCATAATTTATTTATTATTGTTATTATTATTATTATTTTTTGGGCATCTATGTTAGTCATATTATTTCAAAAGGAGTCCCTTCAGGTATGCGAATCGTCGGTACTGTAAAGCCACTTATCCCTTTATATATGGGGACCCTCCAACTTGCAGAAGCACTATAATCCATCACCACTATCTGCACAGGTCAACCGGTAACTTTCTTCTGTTGATATTTCTGGGTCCAGATAATAACATGAAACTCTAATTAGTCACCGTGTACCACTACTTCCCTTCGCATTTGTTGTTCCCGTTTTGCCAACTTCTAGCTTGCAACTTGTATTGGACATGTGACTTTAAATGCCTGTAGCCACTACCATGTAAATACTAATGCCTTGCAGAAGTTCATCCCATATATGCTGGAACCATTTTTTCTTTTCATTGTATACTAATATTTTTCTGGTATGTTCATATGGAACATGGCCATGAACACGGTAATTATTTAGGACGTGGAAATGTGATTGTGGTGAATTGATACGTTTAGTATTTGTCATTTAACTTATGTGGCTCAGTCATGCTTGGATATGTCATATCATTGTTATGTTTTCTCATTTCATCTCAAACGTGGACATCACTTTTGAAGTCTGTTAATCTGCTGTCCATTTTATTGTGAATCTGTTGTTTGGAACATTAAATCTAGGGATCAAAGACTGTTAATTTTCGAAAGTGGAAGATTCATGTTTAGTAATCCATCCATGGAATGGGTTCCATTTGGTTCTCTTTGAGACGGCGGATAAGGTATTTGAATTAGCCAAAAAGAGTCTCATTCAGACCACCTGGACTGTACAGTGTCATATTTTAGTTATGCTACATGTATAGTTAGTTTGACTGATGATGAGGTTGCATGCAAATCAAGAGACAAATGCATGCCACCTCATCATCTTTCAACAAGGGGTAAACATTATCCGTACAAGTAGTTTAATTGGTCATAGTTTTGATGTCATATTGTCGTTATAATTATTTATTTACTTTTTTGATTTTACACAATGCAGGTTCCATTGGACGCATAGAAAACATATACATTGTATACATTGTTGGTAATTGGTACACAACATCAGATATGATTGAGAAGATAGCCATACGAACGGAACAATTTAGATGACTTCTCAATTCTGTACTTTATTGTGGTCAAATTCAGCCTTATTTTTTTGGCTCGGTGGTTATAAATATTTTAGTTGACTTGTTCAATTTTTTCTTGTATGTTCTTAGATGTGATAAAAAGTACGTTTTCTTGTATTGAAAACGGTCAATAAGTCATAGAAGGTGTTTATGAGTCATTTTTATGAAAAAATGTATTTTGAAATAGTAAATTGATGAAAAATGTGTGGTTGAAATATAATGAAATTTTTTTATTTACGTATAATATTATTTTAATGAAGAATATGTGGTTGAAAAGAAGAGAAAAAAATACATTTTAAAAAAAATGAGTACCAAACGGGACGATAATATCTTTTCATAAAACATTAACGAACGTCTTGATTCACAAGAATTCAGGCACCAAACAACTAGAACCGAGATTTCATCATTTCTACAAATGAACTTTAGTACATATATTCAAGAAAAAGAACTTCCACTAGGTATGAAAAAATGGAAGTAATTGCATTAGAGGGAAAGGAGAGGTTCGTTGTCCCACTGGCTAAGTAATTCTCTCTTTTTTTTTTTTTAAAACCTATATAGTCAAAAGAGTGAAAAATCTTGAGGCAGAATCTCTACAGTAGCAAATGACAACATGTTGATTCTTGATTGCAGCGATCCATATTCATCCATGCTGGGACCTGATCATGTCAGTTTCATATCTAGTGGGACCCATTGCCACTCCCATTCCTCAAGTCTCTTTCAACTTTCACCTTCATTTTCACTTGGAATTCTACCCTTTTCCCCTGAACCAGGAGCAGCAGAAAAATCCCAACTTTTTCTAGTGAGAGAAGTGCCCACAAAATCTGGGATTTTGATTTACTTCCCATTTTCTTGAAATATAAATATATTTGTGGTGTTCAATGTTCACCTTTGAAATTGCTGAACATGTCAAATTATGCAGTAGTGTCACATCCACAGATCTTATCCTTGGCGATATAGATGATCATCTCCAGTGAAATTGATATCCTGTTGCAACCATACAATACAATTATTAGCTGCTTGGTTGTTTTAAGTGTAACCATGTGTACATATATATTACAGCATTTAAGACCATCCCTAGTGGACCACTTCTGCTTAATTTCTGATGGAGATGACTCAGTTATTGCTTCATGGGTTGCACGCCACCCCACTTGATTGGCCTACGATTTGGTTCAAAAATGGTCTCATCACTCGGCAAATTGACTCTAACCTTTCATCACCTTGCAAAAATGGCACTTTTAATTTACCCCTTGAGCCCCGGATATTATCATCTAACGGTTCGTGGAAATAGTTGGTACCTTGATGGTTGATGTGATTAACAAAACCTAATTTTCAAACCATATCTCAATTGGCAAATCTCGTATAAATGCATTTCAACATATACCTTCCCTGAGTTCACAGTACCTCACACCTTAAAAAAATCTTACATGTGGCTCTTTACTTGGACTGTACAATATTATCCAATATTAATTATGCACCTTTGTCTGGAGGCAATTCTATGTAGGATTTTAATGAAAATTTTGACCATTAGAGCAATGCTCAACAAAATTCATAGCATTACACATTAAATTTGAGCTGCAACTATTGACCAAATTTTACAAATTCACCCATGTACCCATTTATATTTAATTCATCCTATTTGAATGAAAGGCATTCGTAGTAATTTAGCAAATATTGAGTAAAAAATTGCAGCTGGAAAAAGAGGCCCAAATTTCCGAACAGTCCAAATTTTCATTAAAATTTTGTGAAAATCACCTCCAAACGGGCGCTAAATGTAACTGATGATCCATTTGACAAGATTTTTACTTTGCATAGAAGCAAAAACTACCTTATTTAAACGCTCTTGTTAACATAAAATACTTTCAAAATATTATCTAAACATATTCAAAACCAACTTTGTAGTTTTAGAAGCAGTTTTTAATTTTCAACAATCAAGTCCAAGTTCTTGACTGGTCGGTGCACACAGAGAATATGACCTGAACACGAAGTCCTATTAAAAAAGTTGTTCATTGATTCCATGAAAGAACATTACTTGTTTAACTTGACTACTAACTCTTAGACAGATGTCTTTCGGCCTTAAAAAGTGACGCAATATATATAATTAAATTAACAATACGCAGAACTAATTCGTGTAGCTTTTTGTATCTGTTTCTCTGAAGGAAACAGGAAAATCAAACCAGGAAATTGGACACGTCACATATTTATCCTAAAACATTTGATGTACCATGTGATTGTAGCGGTGAGATTGGGGGTAGTGCGCTTGACCCTGGCTCGACATGGGTGAACCAACAGGTGTCGACAACTCAGGCTCGAGTTCAGGTTCGGGTTCAGACTCGTCTGCTCGGCATTCCAAGTTCACACCAAACAACCTTAGCTTCTTGGAGTTCCCGCTTCCTGTTGTCTGATTCTGCATTGCTGATCCTGTTGTAACAGCACGTGCGGCATGAATCTAATCATCAATGTAAAACATTTTTGTATCTATCAACACACAGTCACACACGTGTGAGTGCAGTGCAGCTACCTAGAATTGTTCACTATGGTCTATAGCTACATGTAACAAATTTGGTACCAACTGTAGCGTACTAAAGTTCGAAAATTCTAAAAATGACCATTTTATCACTGATATGAATCAATTTCGTAGACGGATTACTGGGTTTCCATGGAAAATAGAGAAGTGCTCATCACGCAAATCTACTGCGTGTAATCTGTGTGAAATAGTAAGTTGGAAAAAACAAAAAGATGAGCTTTGAAATGTAATGCACAGAAAAGGATACCCGCATGAAGACAGTCAGGTTGGTACGGGAGAGTAATCCCATACTGCTGGGTCGGACAAGGATGGCCAGAATAGTAATGGTTCCACCCACTACCGCTGGCGACAATCGTAGATGGTGGTGGAGCAGCGGTTTTGCGCCTCCACCCGATGAAAAGCCGAGTACAATCCAAACGGTGGCGCTGGAAAAGAACAATATCTCCAGCATCAAGCTTCTTTTCCTTCACAAAACGGCTCCAACCTTTTGTCAATACATAGCTCTGGCTGCTGTTCCAGTAAGAGTAACGGAACCTCCAAGATTTTCCAAGTTCATCCTCAAATCCTAATTGAAAACCCTTGTCTCCCGAGTCGCCGCCGTTGAGTGGAAAGTATTTTTCGGCGTGTTGTTTAGGTATAACAAGGCGGTTGAGCTTGCCCACATCACTAGGAGTCAATGGCTTCTCGAATAATGCTTCTTTCGTGATTTCATTCTCCTGTAATTCTTCTTTACAATTATTCTCTCTCTCATCGTCAAATTCTTCTTCTTCGTTTAAATTGAAGCCAAAAGCTGTGTTCTTGCTGCAAAACATAGCGGCAGAGGCAGTGGTGATACCTTGATAAGAAGATGAGGTTTTTTCAGTATGTTGTTGGTCTGTCCACCAGTATTCTTCTGGTAGGTCTGAAGAGTATTGGTTAATTGACATTTTAGAGAGAGAAGAAAGATTGTTTTAGATAGAGAAGGAGTGTGTGTTATGATAATCTGAAATTTCTGAATAGTTATGTAGAATGGGCAAGAAGAACGTGGGATATGATTATTGATTTGATGTGGAAATGTACTAGCAGCAGGTGAAAATAGATAGATATGAATCAGTGTATGTATATGCAGAGAGAGAAAGGGTGTGAGTCGGGGTGCTAATACGAGAAGGGAGGGGGCGGGGGGTTACTTTAAGGTTTTGCGTGAGAGGAAAAATCAATCATTATTTTGAATGCAGTCCATGGCTACACGGAAATTACGTTTAAGGTGTTCAGTGTACACACGTTCTTGGAATAATTACAGATGGTATCCCCAATCTATTGAAAATGAAGTTAGCAGATCCTCAACCCAATACTTTTAGCAATTGTTTCATGAATCTTTTGAAGACCCGTCTGCTATAAAACGAAAGGTTAAAGATTAAAACCATCAAAATAATAAGTTGATGAGCTACTTGCTACATTTTCAATAAATTAGAAACTTAAACTATAAATTTTTGTTTTCAATTGTACCATTATATACCTCTGAATATGTACACGTGTTTCAAATGTTACGTGTTAAGAGGTATTTTTAGTAAATACTTTATTAGTGAGCGGTGGGGTTACGTATTTGAATTCAAGAGTCTAGTCGATTGCTATAAATGTTGTAATATTTCGATATCATTTTTGTAAGCTTGTAAAAAGTCGTACCTCACAATGAATGATCAAAGAAAAGAGGATTGATATCCTCTATAGAATACATGAAACATTTAGCACTTGTTTAGCTTTTATTTCCTAAAATTCACTTTTAATTGTACTTTTTATGAAATTTACAATTTTTATTAACTTTTTTTAAATGCATTTTCACAAACTTTAATAAAAATCTAATTTTATTCAAACCACACAAGCCTAAGATAGATCTTAACTTATCTTGATTATGTTAGTAGGTTGTATTCACGTCCCTAGCTAAAATCATAGAATACTGTTTTCTCATTGGAGGGTGGAACACATTGATCTCGACTTCAACACCTTCTAAGTTGTGCAAACCTCCATCGAATTTAGAGTCCGTTTGACACGATTTTCGCTTTCGCATTCTGTTGAAGAGCTTCTGAAGAAATTATTATAATTTTTGTTTAGTAACCATTTTTTTAAGAAGCTTCCTATTCTCGAAGTGTCTTTAGAAGAAAACATATTGGACCAACTTTCTTAAATAACTCTTCTAATATATATATATATATATATATATATATATAGTCAAACATTATGTCAAACGAATCCTTAACTCACTATAGAGTGTTGACTTCTGTATATATCTTACTTGAGTTCTTATTGTCTTAGCTTACCTTATTTTTTTCCTGACCTTGGCCTCCTATGTCAAGACAAAGCTGCCTGTCCCGGAAAAATTACACAGATGAACTAAGGAAAATGAACTCGAAAAGCTTATTTCTTGTTTATACTTATTTTTCTGAATTCGAGGTCTTATATAGACTTTAACTTAGATTGATTCTCAAACATAGATGATGATCCGTCCTGCTATTTTGAATCGATGATGGTGACATTAGTCATGTTCTTGACATCAATCGAATTAATGTGAGGTTACTTTCTATAGATTCGATATAAGAAACGAAACAATGAGATAAAAGTCGAGAGATCCATTGACGAAAAGAGAGAAGATTTGTCCAATATGAATGAATAAGATGATACCTCATGGCATTCGTGTCCCAATTTTCTCCTCATCTCTCACATTGGCATGTCTTTCTCTCTATGACAAAGAATGCATGTGTACTAAAAATCTTATAAAATTGCACGAAAGGTTTGGACTTGTTGGACATACTGTATTATTCTAAACAAGTATATGGGTCAAACAATTGCAGACGACGACGACGACGACGACAACAACAACAACAACAACAACAACAACAACAACAATAATAATAATAATAATTTGAACTATTAGAATCCAAGACGAGCCTCGTGGGCCCTGAATTACTAGCTGGCTCGTGAAATATAGTTTGTGTTGAGCTCGATCCATGGTGATTCTCAAAACGAGCCCAAACCACTCTTCAATCTTGTCAAACTGGCTCGACCCGTTTGCCACCACTACCTTATTTACTAATGTCACTATCTATACATATACATTTTGTACCTATATGTTGTTGATAATTAAAAGTTATATAATCTACATCAGTGCACTTGAACTATGGGGGCCAAGTTTTATTATCAGATAATCATCACCGATGTCAAAATTATTACTTTAAAATATGGATTAATTTATCGTTTCAGACAGTATCTATTGGCGCAATGAAACAAAATTAATTATTTTCCATAAACGAGCCAAGAACAATGAACTACAATCTAAATATTTGATACCATCTCTATTTTATTATATATTTTTCTGATGGGATTATAATAATATATAATAGTTAGATTAAGACTATAGTTTCATTGAACACAACTAAGCAATTCTAAGAGGTTGTTATCATAGTTAAGATAATAAGATTGATGGATTCAAAATTAAGCAATTAATAATGCTATATTTAATGTTGTAAGCATATTTAGAGATTTTGTATAATGTTAGTTACGTAAACACGTGATATAGAGCATCAACTAGTTCATTATTTTAATTTTAAAAAAAAAAATCGAAATGTTGTTTAGAATATCGGTAAATCAAAAAAATATAAGTTAAAGAAAGATGAGACCAGATCGAGTACTTCAATTCTTCCCACTATTAGCCAAGGTCAATAAGTCGGCACTCACTCAACAACTCCATAAGGCACTTGAAAATGGATTGAAGTGCTCGACGAAACTCTAAGAAAAATCCACGAGATACATCTAGTGTCAAAGTTAGTCATGTTATCTAACTTGTATTTGCAGTGTGGAGACCAACTCGTTACTCGGGATGAGCAAAAAACAGAAAAATCAATCAAATCAACCAAATTAAGGGTGTGTTTGAGCCATATTTTTTTTTTTTGAAGAATGTATTTGGAATGGTAGATTAATGAAGAATGTTTAGTTAAAAAAGAATTTTTTTTTTTATTTGTGTGTAATATTATTTTAATGAAAATGTGTGATTAAAAAAAAAAGATAGAGAAAAATGTATTTTAGGAAAAACGGGAATCAAGCACTCCCTAAATCAAGTTTGTTGGTTTAAACCAAAAACACGATTCAATACATTAAGTTTTAACTATTAAAAAAGTCGGATTGAGTTGATTGCAGTTTAACCAACCAACGTACCAATTAACCGACTCGACCCATTGGTACTTTTTTTTTTGTTTTATTTATATTTTAAAATTCAGATTTTTAAATTTTAAAATTAAAAAATAAAATAATAAAAATACAAACCTAATTCTTTTTCAAATATACCATGTACACCTCTTCTATCAAAACTTCAAATTTCAAGAGAAAAGAAAAGGCAATGAGAAGAAATGTACGTTGTAAACTCCAATTCAGATTGTAGCCTTATTTCATTTTGGTGCAATTGTTGCCATTGTTTTTACGTAAAACTATCGGATATGTAAGATGACTTTGTGGAAATTGATTATTTACCATTTACATTATATATTTTATTGAGACTATGCAAGCAGAAAAAATGTAGCAATTTTTTTTAACTCAAAATAGGTGGACAATTTTTTTAACTAAGGCTAATGTTTAAATCAACCAACAAACTATATTTCAACAGCTGAATTGGATTGATTTAGATTGCAATTTATCGAAATCGACCAAATAAGTTTCAATTTTGGATTAGATCCAAAATCGAATAAACTCATATTAAGCTTAGGCATACTCGTCACCAATCTACGAAAGACTACGAAACTTGTGCCATTGGCATAATGTATTATCTTGGTTAGACATGCTCCAATCATCGAGATATCTCAATCACATCAACAAATATATTCAATCGTTTCAACATTTACCTTTAAAAAGTTGGTGTGAGATGTTTGTTCTCATATCAAGTAATTAATGCGAGATACTGCTCTTACATTAAAAATATCTATGAGAATCTCTCATTATCATCTCTAGCGATCGCTTTCAATAAATAAAATCATGTCTTCCAACTAAAATAAATTTACATGATCGAGAGTCATCGACGAATTTCTTTAGTCAAGGATAGTACATAACTTTGCCAATTTTTTCTTGAATGTGTGTATAGGAGTGGTCTCACCACCTACCAACAAGTTGTCGCCTAACTAAGTCGAAATATCTTTGCCTCTTTGTTATACCTATCTCTGCAGCATGTTTTAACAAAGATAGATGTTAAATGAGATTCACAAGTCACTTGCTATAAGCCAATCAAATATAATATTTAGATTCAAATGGCCAAAACATCAATTTCCCAAGTCTATCAAGACTGGTATAAAGTCACACCGTCCACCTTATTGATCTATATAATTATACAAATTCATTAAAATACTATAGTTCTATAACTATGTAGAAGAAGCCACGTCTCCTCCTTTTGCTGCTTGTGGCCTGCCTAAAATTGGTCCTCACACTGGCCCACTCCCCATTGCCATGTCTGAGCCTCTCTCTCTCTCTCTCTCTCTCTCTCTTATCTAATGCTGCAAACGAGTCAAATGATTATCTATAGTTGAAGCATCAAAAACTTTAATTTTAGAAGTATTCTGCTTGTACATTCTCTGTGTACATTATAGTTAACATCATGTGAGGTGTAAAAATCAAGACCGCTAATTGTTTTAAGTGTTGTTAAAATCAATGACAAAATAATGTGTCATATTACATAATGTCAAAAAACTGTCAACCATAATGTACACCAAACAAAATTGTTAATTGTATAGTGGGTTAAAGCCATATCACCCAACACTTTGTAATGCAAATGTTGGAAAATAACAATCCCATTTTTAAGTTCATGAATTAGGCCACTCAAATATTGTTGATCGAATGTCATAAAAGGTTTAATAAGCAGTTACTTGACTCTAATTGATTTTCGGATGAACTTGCTGAAACTTGATCCTATTCTAGTCTTTATTCTAAGCATCAATTCTCTTGAAACAATTAGTCTAAAGGAAACATAATTTTTTCTCCATTTCTTATAATTTTGATCTAAATGCTTCCTTCTTTCTTTATTTTGTGCATCTAAATACAATCTTATAAATAAACATTTTAAAATGTAAAGAAATCCAATGCTATTTCGTGCACATTTCATCAAGCAGCATTTTGCAGCAAGGTAGTGGTTAGAACTTGGAAGAAATCCATGATGGCTTCCACTATAGCATAAATAAACTAAGGGACTACTTTGAATTGTCAAAGTCTACAAACTTTGGCCCCCATTTCCTATTTTCTTCTATGTTGGATATTTTGAATAATGGACCGACCTGTCATATTCTTGGCCTAACTTTGAACGAAAAAATGTTACTGAAAATGATTTCAACTTTAAGACATTAAATTTTTTTTGATGTCTATTGGCGTATTTTTTAAGTTTAACATATTGAAGAACACACGGAATCACACATGGGTGTGTATACGTATTTTCCAACTCCTTGGGAGTGATAGTCAATGAAGCGATGCTCATCGCTTCGGAAGTGATTTTGGTCAAGGTGATGGAATATGATCCACGCCTCAGAGTAGAGATCGTGAAGGCAACACGCTCCCGCTCAATAGTCTCTAAGATGATGGTGCCTTCATGATGTTTTATTTAGTAGGTTGACATGTGGATAGAGGCATTACAAGACCCTCAAATTCTCCTTCTTTAATTTAATATATTTTTAATGAAATTCATGAAGCAAAAATAAAAATCGAACTCATCGAAAAATCAAGCATTTATGGTAATTTTTACTTTTTAGGTTCTTTAGTGTTTCATGAAGCAAAAATAAAAATTGAACTCATCGAAAAATCAAGCATTTATGATAATTTTTCCTTTTTAGGTTCTTTAGTATTCTAATTATCGAATAATTATTCAAATACGAATTGTTAATCCAAGGCCAAGCTTGGATTTTTATGAAGAAATCATCTCACTTCTATTTGTTATGATATAGAAAAGATTAGAGCTAGGTCCCTAACTTATGCAAAATGTAACAAGTAGGTATTAAACTTTTTACATATCACTATCCAACCTTCTGTTCTTGTAGCACATAAGTCTCCAATAGACCACTTTTCGTATTTCGAATACAAATTATGTTCACATTATCATAGAGAAAAAGAGAAGCGTGTAAACTAGCTCAGACACTAAAACAATTTCAACTAGGAAACCTGTTCATTAGATGGCTTTCAAGAAATTAATACATCGATAACTTTCAAAGAAATATTATAGCTCAGCAAGTCTTGCCTTTATGACGCAGTTCTTCCAGGAAACAAGATGATAAAAATTAAATTTGAGTTAATAAGAAAAGCAGCACAAAGCAAAAGCAAAAACAGAATGTGATGATTGCAGCATGGTTAACTCAGTTCTGCCATATGCATTTGTACAAGAAAAATCTCACTCACTGAAACACAACTTTCTATAAAACTGATTTTAAACAAACTTTAGCTAAAAAATCAACAATAATTATAGTTTTCAAGCAAATTTCTAGCTACTCGGAGCACTACTACTGGAGTTTCCGAAAGTAAAATCATAAATCAACAAGATGTTAACTTCTTAATGTTTCTTGAAGCCGGGCTTCCCCTGCCTCACCTTGTACTGCTTGCTGGAGTGAGTGCTCGATTTTCAGCTGTGTCACCATCAGGTAGTCCCCAAGAGTACGAGAAAACTCACCACTTCGATCTTCTGGCATTCTGGCCTTCCCCTCTGACATCTGCAAGCCTTGACTTTGAACCATTACCAGGAACGATACTCAATCTTTCCTGAATGGTACTGGAACCATCTCGTAGAGGCCATCGTTGCTCCCTTTGCCGAGTGGGACTCGGATATTCTCGGACTGGCCCTAACCTAGAGCTAGATAATGCATGATCATTGAGACCTTTTACAGATTTGTATCTTTGAGTTTCATCGACATAACTTCTTCTTGGTGCTCCCTTCTCGAGTTCGTGAAATCTCTCCCTATCCAACCCATCTCTTAAATTTTGACTAGTTGCACCTTCATTACCCCATTCAACTCCATCTGATATGCTCCTTAGAATAGAAGTGCTTTTCCTAGAAACCTGCCCAGAGATGGAGTTCCTCCCTTTAATTTCATCATCTATGGGTAACCTTCTAGGGCCAGCAATGGAGTTGTAACTCTTTTTGTAAATTCCATTACAGTTATCCATGTTCAGTTCAATTGAATGAAGATCACTCTCTGCAAAATCTTCTTCGTCATCTATGGCATCATCGACTTCTCCATCATCTCGTTCTTCGTTCTGACGCAAACCAAAGTGAGACTTGCTCAAATATGCCGCTTTTTCTTCATCTTTGCCTCTTTTTGATCCAAGGAAAGCTTCCAGTTGTTTCCTCAACTTGTTAATGGCAGAATTTTTCCCTTCAAATTGATGTTTAGATTCAGACATTTTCACCTGGGCTCTCTCCTCACACAAGTCATCAGCTAATCGTAGCATCTCTCTTTCCTTCCCGACATCTTTGTGAACTTTTGTAGACTCTCTTTTCAGCTTTTCCACTTCAACCCTATCATCATCAACATTCTGAGCTAATTCATCACAAACCTGTTCTGTAAATTCTCTTGCTCTCTTTTCAGTTTCCAATTCCTTAACGGCTTTCATGAATGACGATTTCATTTCTGCTAGTTCTTTTCCGAGTTTCTTGTTCAAGTTTTCAAATCGACGCCTTAGCTTCCGTTCTACATCTAGTTCACCAGCAATAGACTCAATAGCAGACTCAACGGCTTGCTGTTCTTTACTTTTCCATGCAGCCTTTTCTTCGGCAAAACACTTCATGAGATGGTTAATATCATTTATGTCAGAAAGTTGTTCTTGGATAAGCTGATTAACCTGTAGACGAGCTCTCTCGAGCTCAGCATGAAGCGCTGAGATAAGAGACATGCTAGATGAAGGTTGATCTGCACGAGCCCAAATACGGTTTATAATTTTTAATAGCTCTTTGGATGTGGTCAAAGCATTGCTAATATCCTTAAGACGATTCCTAGTACCACTTATTGATCCGCTTGGAGTCTGGGCTCGAGACCTAGTCTCAATCTGCAGTTGAGATTTATACAGTTCCTCAAAATTTACTCAAAGGATCTTATGAAAAGTCATCTAAATAGTTTGATTGTAAAATTCTTTCGGACCGGTACTAGTACTAGAGACAATATGTGGAGAAGAGGTAAAGCTGGAGATGTAAATAACAGAAAAGTAAAAGAAGAAACAAAGATTGATTTGATCCTCGAGCTAATAAATGAAAAATAGATTAATAAATAAGTAAACTTCAAACAAACCACAAGATGAGAAGGAAACCTTGTTACCTCCATAAAACTACCGTTGCTTAGTGAATCAAAAGCTCCAGCATTTTCGTCTGAAGACCTAAGCCTCTGGACAATTGATGGCGTCCTCCTTTGATGACCCTTACCAGAACGATCCATTCTCTGTTTAAAGCCCCAAGGATGAGTTTTCATTTGTCAAAATAACTTCTACTTGGAAATGAAAAATACACAAAAAGCGGAAACAGAAAAAGAAAAGAACATCAACCAAAACTTGACAAACACTGTCGCTTTTGAAGGTTCAAAAATGAAGGTGCATTTTTATCTTTTCTATAGACTCATGTTCAATGTTCCTGAAGGACATCTGATGCCACTATTAGTAACAAAATAATGGTTAGACTAGCAAACTCCAACTTGACTAATTTCAAGAAAAGTGATGCTGAAGCCCAAACAAAGATTCATACAAAATTGATGTCTCAAGCATAACTGAACAGTATAATTATATGGCAAATAGTGCTCTACTTGGATAACCTCTAGAAATCCTCTCCTGACTAAGTCTCAATCTTTTCATTAATTTGAAAACTAACCCACATTTTGAGTGTTCTTCTGATTATATGTTCCTAAAACTTAAATAAATAGAGACATGGTCTAAAGAAAAGCAATTACTGCTTCGGATTTTTCTTTTTACCTATTCTAATATTCCAATTTCAAAAAATATGGATTGGAAAATGCAGATATGTTGAAGTATAAATAAAAAATAAAGCACCTTCCCACCTCGGAAATAGCTGGGCTATGAGATGGATCAGACAAATGTGGCGGCAAAGAACCTGAACCCGAGTGCAAACCCGATCCAGACCGCATTTTCTCCCGCTTAAGCATCATTTTACTGCTGCTATTCTTCCTCTGCTGCTGCATTAACTCCAAATTACTCTCACTCATTTTGGGCGAAGGCATCTCATTCATTCCCCACAGTGTGGCTGCAAGTTTGCGGGCCGACACTGGTTGAGTGGATTTCCCACTTTGTGAATACCTAGGAGACTCAATGTTGCTCCTCAATGGAGTAGTTCTCCACGTGGGCACAGGAGTACTGGATCTGGATCCTCCCAACCCGATCCCAAGCCCAACCCGATTCTTGCCCACCAAAATGGCACGCTTATTCAATCTGTAATTGTGAATTCTTGATGAAGATGACGAGGGTGATGAGCATTCCCTTTTCCGGGTCTTAGTTGACTCCATCAGCCCTTCCATCAAACCCCTATAACTATGCCTTGGCATTATCACTTTTTCTTTAATATTTCCACTTCTTTTTAACTATATATACACTCTTTTGCTCTAAATTTCAACGATCTGTATTCAAATAAAAAATAAAAAATCCCAAATAAATAAACTAGTCAATAAAGGCCCGACTTTAAAACACAAGAATATGAAGTAAAGTTTGAAGATCTTACACATTAGTCCCTGTGTACGCCTTGACATTATAAATTTACTTCTTCTCAGCATCAATTTTTTGCTTGACTGAAAACCCTTTTCGATCTGGAAATAGAAAAAGCAAAACACATATAAAGATATACTTAAATATGGACTATTTATGAAAATTTTTCAGTGGGCGTAAAGTTGGGTTTACAGAATCTTTACAGCTAGGAATGTGGTTTACATTTAAATTTAGCAAGAATAGCAGAATGGAGATGGAGATGGAGATGGAGATGGAGGGGGGATGAATGATGGGTTTCTTGATATTAATTTGATTTGAAATGATGTCAAAAAAGAGCAAGCTTGAACTTTGATTTTATTCTAATCTCCATTTCAATGTCACTTTTACTATAAATGCACTACAAATAAAGCACGATGTACAAGTAGACAGAGAACGGGAAAAGAAGCGAAAGAAAAGGAAAGTGGCATGTGAAGCTGAAAACGTGGCTGATAATAAGTGGGTTGTTCAAGAATGTCTTTTTCGAATTTTTACTTTGTTAGATTTGTCTAAGTCTGATCTGTCTGACTAATTAAAACTAATTATTTTCTTGATTCTCTTTTAGTTTAATACTGTAATTGCAATGTGTCCAATCCCAGTTTTCTTGTTTTTCTAATATCTACTATAAATTTACTCAGGATCAAGAACATATGTCATGAAAGATAATGCTGTCTCAGAAAGATATCGAAATCGAAATAAGAAAGATTTGAGATCTCGAATGGATTTTCGAAGGACTGTTTGGAATATTAATTTTGTGAGTTCAGAGGTGAAGGGCTCATGATTATAATATTTTATTGTGTATGAAAAATAGAAGATGCATTTTGAGAGAACAGGTGGTTTTAAATTTTATAGCCTATTTGAGCCTCATTTTTGTTAAATAATGTATTTTGAAATAGTATATTAATGGAAAATATGTGGTTAAAAAATAAGGAAAATGAATTTGCGTGTAATATCATTTCATTGAAAAATGTAAGTTAAAAGAAGAAAGACCCCAAAAAAGGATCATATGGCAGTTATGTATCAAGCGAATATAGACACATCACTATCCCACTTGACCTATTCGAGATCCTTCAATAATCGAAGTATGCAATCCATCGAACTCCCATGTAGAGGCTGAACTCTCCATAGACGAGATGAGGTGATGCAACACCGATTCAAAATGAGTAGCTTTTAGGCATATGAAACATCTTTCTTAGAAGATCCTCCATACAAGATCTTCTATGAATTATTGATGTGACTTCTCTATAGTAGCTATCCTATCAAATCGACTAGTGATGGAAAAGAATTTGCCCCGCCCCCCGAATTGGGCCAAACCACCCCCTTGGACGGCTTGGTGGGGTAGGGCAGTTGCCACCCTATCTCGGGGCGAGGATCCTCTGCCTCGAACCCGTCCCATGAATAGCTCAAAAATTTTGAAAATGTACAAAAAAAGCAACAAACGGGGCAAGCCGTCGCTCCGTCGGGGTTTGGGAAGCGCCCTGCCCTGAACCTGACCCACTATTATCTCTAAAATCAACTTATCAATTTTCTCTTTATATGCTAACGTATGACGTAGTGTGACTATTTTTCAGAGTCATTTAATATCCATGAACTTAGGGTTGATGAAATGACGCCTGTAACAGGATTATTGAACGTAGCTGGATAAAGTATCAGTTTCTCCTCCATGACTTCAACTGTTTCAACTGTTGCAATACACTGGTTGACAATTTACTGAGTTTTCACTTCCTCTGAGAAGTGCATTCATCAATAATGTTTGTCTTCTGCAATTATAGGTAACACACAATGATACTCTATTATAAATATTAAGTACCTTTTTAATCCTTTGCCGAAACTTTCCGCATTCAAGAACCAGAACGTGCTACCAAACCTGACTGTCTGAGGGATTAAATTTCTTGCTCCACCACCTAATTATCCAACTGAGACTACCTACACAGTTTGTCGAGGATTAGAAACTCTAATTCTATTCCATCTATAGTAATTAGTTTATAGAAAGAAATAAAAATATACAAAATTTATAGAGATTGGTCTAAACTAGGTCATCTTCCACCATTGTAGTAATCCCTACAAAGAAAAGAAGTTTACAGGAGAAAATATCATACCATAGATACTTTTCTTTCACTTTCTTCTGCCTGTCATTATGTCCATGGTAAGATCCAACGCGATTGTACCATGCATATTAATTTGGTTATAATCAGTTCTACTGGAATACCGTAGAATATTTAAAGAGAAAAGGTTCTTCTAAACGACCACATGAAAGGAAAAAATTAATAATACCCTTGCCTCTAAAGGATCATTTTTTCGAGACAATCTGTTGGATGCAAGGATTGCCATAGAAAGAGCAAGAATTGGATCTCTAATTTACGTGGGCTTGCTGCATGTCCACCTTTCCCTTGAATGATAACTAAAAACCTGCCTGATCCAACCATCACTGGACCAGGCCTCAACTGATTTTATCAATAGGCAAATGCGGTGCAATAACATCATCACAAGAGCATCATGACCCCAAGCATGCATTTTGCCATTAATCTTGCTCTTTATGCTCCCATTCCACCAATTCCCTCAAATTACTATTTGTTATATATGTGTTATATGCTCGCCCACTAAAATGTAATTTCTTGAAAATTAATAAAAAAGAATATCTCGAACTTAATTGAAATGTAGATTTAGTGGCATACTTGAATTTAGAAGGTATCACGTGATTATCTCATTATGGAGAGAATGAATCTATCATGTTTCTCAAGTTAATGTTAAATTTTAATTTGTAATCATGCTAAGAATCAAGAATCACCAAATAATAAATTAATAAACCAAATTCATACCTGCGGAAGCCATTATTAATATGAATAGTAGTTGTAATAGCAGCTAAGATCTTCCCCTCTTTGCTCCTCACAAAAGTATTAGCTATCAATGGGGCAATCTAATGAAACATGTGGAGACGAGAGGGGACCTAGCCTTTATATATAGGAAATAATTTGAACCGTCTCATTACGATTAGAATTCTAATTAGGGTTTATTTTCGACCCACATACTTTAAATTACCACATCAAATTAATTACAACTCGTAAGGTGTAAAAGGCCCAATTGATCACTTAATAAATTTGGCCTAAACACAAATATCATTATGAGCCATATATCTAACCCGTAAAATTTTGCAATCGAATGTGAAGCCCACATATGAAATTATTAATTATTCTAACGGCAAACATTTGATTGCCATAACAAAGTTTTAACATCCGGGTTAGACTACATAGGTGGCCACAAAAGTATAGCTCCAATGATAACACCTTACGTAACATGATCCGGTCCAACAAGAATATTAACACCGAACATGGAAGTCATTACACCAATTTAAGGGATGTAAAACCATTCCACAGCTACAAATGTCAACATCCTTATCGACATGGATCCCCATCCTCCAACCAATGTGGTAGTATGTGGTATGAATTTAGCACCAAACGTGATCAAAAAATTGTGCTAACTCATATTGGTCCTCATAATGCTTCGAATCAAAATAAAGTCACATGTCTCTAAAAGAGACTCATCTTATGTCTTTACATGTCATATCTCAAGATCACAATAATATTATAATAAAAGACATAAGTCAAATGCATGCTCAAAATAGTCCATGGATAGGGGAAAAATATTTTATTGTCAGAAGGTGTTGTACTCGAAAACATATGGGTTGCCTACGTACCCCGTAAAGGGATCAAGCCCAAAATGTAGTTCTTTACATAAATAACTCTCACTAACCAAAAATATTAAATGTTTCCACAATACCCATATTAGTAACATGTGTCTTAAAAACTTTTGGAGCGAATCCCTTAGTCAAGGGATCAACAACCATCGCCTCTGTATTGATATGCTCTATTTTCGTCTGCCATTCTTTGACTCTGTCTCTAACAACCAAATATTTGATGTCAATATGTTTTGATCCACCAGAACTTTTATTATTCTTTGAAAAGAATACTGCTGCATTGTTATCACAATAAATGGTGATCGGTCTTGAGATGGAATCAACAACTTTCAAGCCAGAGATAAAATTTCTTAACCAAACGGCTTGGACTGTAGCCCCATAACATGCCACAAATTCAGCCTGCATAGTAGAAGATGCCACTAAAGTCTGTTTAGCACTTTTCCAAGAAATGGCACCACCAGCTAATGTAAAAATGTAACCTGAGGTTGATTTCAAATCATCTTGACATCCAACAAAATCAGAATCTGAATATCCTACCACCTCAAAATGATTTGTATGCTTGAATGTAAGCATATAACTTTCAGTTTTCTTCAAATATGTCATAACTTTCTTAACTGCTTTCCAATGCTCTTGTCCTGGATTAGACTGAAATCTGTTATAGACACTTACTGCGTAGGCTATATCCGGTCTAGTGCAAACTTGAGCATACATCAAGCTTCCCACAGCACTAGCATATGGGATCATCTTCTTAGACTCCTTTTCCAACTCATTCCTTGGACATTGAGTTTTGTTAAACTTATCTCCTTTTATGATAGGTACATCACCAGGTGCACAATTTTGCATATTAAACCTTTCTAGAACACGTTGTATATAAGCTTTCTGAGAAAGTCCCAATAAACCACGATTTCTATCACGATGTATTTCAATGCCTAGTACATAGGAAGCTTCTCCAAGATCTTTCATCTCAAAATTAGCAGACAACATTTTCTTTGTCTCATGAAACAACCCTAAGTTACTGCTAGCAAACAGAATGTCATCAACTTACAGTACAAGGAAAATAAAATTTCTCCCACTGATTTTAAGATAAATGCATTGATCAATAGTATTTTCGACAAAAACCAAGAGATGTCACAATCTCATCAAACTTCAAATACCACTGTCGAGATGCTTGCTTGAGACCATATAAGGATTTGTTTAACTTACACACCAAGTTTTCTTTTCCTTTTACAACAAAACCTTCAGGTTGTTTTATATAAACCATTTCAGAAAGATATCCATTAAAAAATGCTGTCTTAACATCCATTTGATGAATCTCCAAATTGTAGTGTGTCACAAGAGCCATGATAATTCGAAAAGAATCTTTCGATGAAACAGGGGAGAAGGTTTCAACATAATCAATACCCTCTCGTTGAGTGAAACCTTTTGCAACTAATCTTGCTTTCTTTCGTTCAACATTTCCTTTTGAATCTAATTTACTTTTGAAAATCCACTTATTATCTACAGCCTTAGCATCTGGAGGAAGTTCAACAAGATCCCAAACTTTATTCCTTTCCATGGAATTCATTTCATCTTCCATAGCAGTTATCCAATTATCTGCATCACGACTTGTCAATGCTTGGTTATAAGTTACAGGATCAACAATATGCCCAACATTAAAA